TGGGGATCAAACTTATGCTGCAGAGGCTGTGAATTGCTCTCGTAGTGCAATGCTTAAACCCTTGCACCACCAGGGAGGCCCGAGGAAAAGATTTTATATGGTAAAAGTTTAGTTGACTCTAACCATCATAAACGTAATAGTTTATCATATTTGACAAGGAAATTAATTTTCTAAACACAAAAAACAACAGGACTTCAAATCATAGAAAAATTAGGATTTGACAGATCCAGTTCAAAAGCTGAATAAAATGGGAGTAACGCTGGAGATGAAGGGTAAGTAGTAAACTAATCATGATAGGCTTGTATGTTTTGAAATTCATCTGAGATTGATGGAAAACACTGAGCATTTCAGGCATGGGGGTGACAACGAAAAAATTATATAACACTTTAGGAATATCATAAGAATGTATTTAGTAGATGTACAAGCAGCACTGATGCCGTTTTTGGAGTTTATGGGTTGTGGGGTCCTGGGGTTCACTCTGGGAAAGGTGTCACCAGAGCGCCTGTTTCGGCTACACGTGGCGAGTTTCCCAGGCGAGTTTCTCCATGAGATAGAGACGGTAGTTATATTTAAAGAGCATGTTTACCAGGAGAGGGGCAGAAAAGCAAAGCACACTTGCATAGATACAAGCAGGCAGGAAGAGCTGCCCCAAAAGGGACAGGTTTGCTGAGAGAGGCCTGCATGGTTGCAGGCACGCGGCCTTGAGGACAGCGGCTTCTGCTGAGGGAGGTCAGTGAAAAGAAGTCCCAACATGGTACAGGTCACGGGCAGGCAGGAGGCTGCTGCCCTGCGGAGGGAGAGAGTGGGTGAAAGGAAGCACCTGCATGGTCACATGTGGGCAGAAAGACTGCCCCGTCATGGGGGCAGAGTTAAGTTTTTATAATCCTCAGGGAGGGGCTCATCTTTGTGGGTGGATGGTTTGTGCTCCTGACACTCCCTATAGCAGTCTGATAGTTTTTGGGTGGTATGCCTCTCATCTGGGCATTGATGCCTAAAGGTCTTGGTTCTATAACTGGGTTAATGGCTTTCTCTATGTAGTGTCAGGAAGGGCAGAGAGATGGTTCTATGATTCATGCAGACCAGGTAAAGGAGAGTCCTGGAGCTCTCAGAGGCTTTCTCAGGCTTTTACTGAGCATTTACATGTAGTGCAGCAACCAGGTACACAGCAGACAGGGATGCCAGGGGGCCAGAATGCCGATAGGCCTCCAAGCCCCTGGCAAGTCTTCACTCTGGGCTTCTTTCTCCCTTTCTCTCTCTCCTGCCTCTTCTGCTTCTCTGGGTGACTATCTCAATACTGAGCTATGGCCCAGAGAAGTAAACAGCATAACTTACAACAATGTAATGAACGCAGGTGCCTCATCATGCAGGGCAATCCTAATGGCAGGAGGGCAGAAAAGCCTGAAAATCATTTACCCTACAATCCACCACCTCAGGGTTTTCTGCTATGCAGTCTACACATATACCTTATATACCATTTTCCCTTAACAAACAAACACTGCAGTCATGGCCCACAAAAGAAAATACAACTGAATAATACAACAAAACACAAGTAAGTCCAGGCAGGGCACCAACCTAGTGGCAAAAGACAATTATTGGCACCAACAGATGACCCACCACTTCTGCTGCCGAAGGCACTGCTCATGTGAGGTGGGGAACCACTCAGGCATTCGCCATCACACACCAGGAGCTGTCAGGCTTCCTGGCCTTCTCTGGCTGTGGTCTTGGCTACAAGCCTCACACAGCATCCACCCCCAGGATGCATTCACTCTTGGATTGACGATTCTGTACTTTGGGGTTAATCGCCCAGTCCTCAGGGTTTCTGTCCGGGTCACTCCAACACTCAGCTTTCATAGCCACCAATGCAACACGCAGACCCCTGCACTCAGGCCAACCCATTGCACAAGCACATGGGTCGGTGATCCGTGGATACAAGCTCCACATGCGGCCTCTCTTGGGTCCCCTCTTTGGTTGTGGGCTTCACTATAAGCTACGTTCCCCACCTGTCCCCCAAGGACGGTTCCTCAGCTCCTCACCCTTACTCAACAGTGAGCTGGGCATCACCCACAGGTGATTTTAAGAGATTTACTGGCCTTCCTTAGCATACTTAGGCTGCTTAACAGCCACTTGGGGCTTCCCAATTTCAGCACCAGCTTTTGCCTTTCTAAGTTGGCTTTTCCTCTGACTAGCTGCTGGGCAGTACACAGGCTGCTTTTGGCCACTGAGGCCCACTAGCCACCCCCAGATTCCCATCTCCTGGGCTGTACAAACCATACCATCCTTCCCTCAGGGGCCCCAAAACATAACATTACCCTGCCAAAGTTCCCCCGCCTTCTGGCGGGATTGTCAGTCTAAATCCATCCTTTGTTCCTTGTGTTAGCACTGGCTGAGCTCCAAATCGTGGTTCTTTCTTCCCTGATGATTCTGCTGCCTCAGGGGTCATGTGGGCTGGTCCTCTCCGGCCATCTCCTCCTCCTCCACTTGAGATCTCATCCTGTAGCTTCTGGACCTTGTCCACCTCCTGTAGTCTTCAGAGGGCTCCATACTCATCTGCTTCGAATCCATCTTGCCAACTTATGCCAATTGTAGGGGCAGGATGGCCCAGTGCAGGTTTCCTCTACCCCTACCTCCTTGTGTGAGTTAGGTCCTTGACCTTGTACCTCCTTTCCTCCATCAGCATGACCACCCCAACCTCTTCTATATAAGTGAGAAATTAGGAAAAATAAACAAAACAAACTACATATATTCAAGGAATTTACATTCTAGAGGGAGAGGCAGAAAATGAAAATATAGATATGTGATATGAGATAGCGAGGAATGATAGATGAAGCAAATAGGATAAACTCAATGTTCTTTTCCACTAATCTCATAAACACCATAAAAATAATAGGGCTTCATGATCCTCTCTCACTTTCCAGTGTAACAGCTCCACTATACTGAAATCTAAATGTTTCAAATTTGTTCATGTATTTCACTCATTATCTAATAACTTCTTTATCTTCCTCCAATATCTGTGTTATCTTGTCAAAGCCCAGAAAAGGAGGAGCAAATTCTCCCTTGAAACTTAAAAGAATTTGTTATTAAGCTGCATTGAAAACAGTTCTCTTGCCAATACTGTTGTAGAGCAACCCCGATACAAAACGGGGTGCCTGACTGTGGGTCCTCACCCGCGCGCTTAAAGGGACTTATCAATGCTCTACTGCAGGCACACGTGAAAGGTTAATAAAAGGTTTATTTACAAGGGAAGGGGAAATGAGGAAATGTACAGCTCTGGGAGAAAAGTGGGAGACAAAGTTTTAAATGAGTCCTACCCAATCCGCCGATCAGGAATCCCAAAATGGCGCTCTCAGAGTTCACCGCCAGCCAGGAGCGGTGAAGCCAGGAGGCGAGCGATTGAGAGCCAGAGAGAGAGCCCAAGGCCCACATGTTTGGTTTTTTATATCCAACCTGGCTGCCCAACTCCACCCTCAGGTCCCAGCCACCCTCCCTTGGTGGTGATGGGATTTGTCTTTCCCAGAGTCTTGATGGCTTTAGTCTGGAGTGGGGGTGGGGTCCACAAAGCCTGTATGGGATTATCTCAGGACATCATTTCCCCCTAACAATACTTCTACAGCTTCTCTAGATTTACAACTCTTCACATTTTTTTAAAAAATATTTATCTATGCATAAAAGAACTGGGGTACAGGCCAGAGGTGCGGGGTGGGGGGGTGGTGAGAGGATTCACCAGAGACAGAGTGGGGAACAGAACAGGAGGAATGACTGAAATACACTGCTGAGGGGAACAGAGGGCAAGCCAGGAGAGGTCTGCACCATGTGGGTTGCTCCCTGGAGGGCCAGGGATTGAACTAGTGCTGCAGAGGCTCTGGACAGCTTCATAGTGCGGTGCTTAACCCTTTGAGCCACCAGAGAGGCCCTCTTCACACTTTTTAAAATCCTTTAATTTCTGTAGTTTGGCACACAAAATCTTGTATATCTCCTTTCCTCTCTCCATTCATTTTTTTTTTTTTTTCATTTAAGAACCATGTTATGTACTGAGTGCTTCATTTGGTGGACACTTAGCTAGGTGCGGATGACACAGGAAAGAGCAAAAAGCCGCTCTGAGCTCTGAAGCTGACAGTTGTCTCATATATGGTAAGCAGAGGCTCAAGAGAAAGCCTAGATGGAAAAAGGGTGCCAGTCCAAAGTGGAAGGACCAGTTGCTGCTGGGTCCCTAGATGCCTATTTTAAAGTTGATAAAATTCTGTGTGCGCTGTAGAGTGCTCAAATGCCTGTGAAAAGGGGAGAAGCCTATTAATAGTAAGTACTGATTTTCATTAAGGCTTTACTGTAGCTTCTTCAAGTGTGAAGTTCTAGCAGGGTCCCACCCTTCCCTACATGGAGGCTAATAGAAGAATGCAGATCCTAAATCTACTGAATCACAATGTCTAAGGGTGGGGTCCAGAAATCTGCAGTTTAATCATGAAATCCCCAGGCCATTGTCATGTACAACCAAAGCTTGAGAACCTTTGGCCTCTTCAACTTTTCTCACTTCACTTTCACCCGAATTAGGTACCATTATTATGCCTATTTTACAGCTGAGGAACTGAGGTGTAGAAAGGTTGATTAGCTAGGACCACAGAGAACTGAAGTTGAACTCTAGACCAATCTAGCTGCAGTAGATCTTAGGTTTAGCCGTATTATGCTAGCTATCTCCTGGTGCTAAATGATTTGCTGCTTATACTTCATCACGCACAGGACTTGGAGTTTGGAAACTGAGTCTGAATTTAGCTTGGTGAACTTTGGTGATTCACTCCCCTTTTGTACTTCAAGTCCCTGGTGAGTTTAATTGAGCCCAAAACACCCGCACCAGCGAGGTGACCGGAGCGGGGCCGCGGGGCCCGGGGGCAGCGGACTGGAGTGGCGATCGATGACTTCGGCGCGCCGCTGCCTGTTGGATTGGCTCAAGCCTCTCCCGCCAGGCCTGCTCCTCTCCCGCGCGCTCCTGCGCCCCGCCCCCGCCGCCATCTTGGTCCAGGAGGGCGCGGGCCGCGCGCGTGAGTAAACAGCCGGATCCGGGAAGTCGCTTCTGGCCGTGTACGGTGTTGCGGGGCAGAGGTGGAGAGGACGCGGTCGGGGTCTTCGCAGGTAGGGTGACTATCGGGGTCACAGGGCTAGGTCGCGGGGAACGCTGAGTCTGGCGCAACCTCCGCCCCCTCGCGGCGAGATGCCCGGCTCCCCGGGCTTCTCCCGCCCCCTCCCCCGCCGGTCTCCTCCCCCTGTTGAAAGCTGCCCGGGAAAGTGGTGGCGGGAGCGGGCCTGGGCTGGAGCGCGGTGTGGGCCCGGAGGCGTGTTGCAGGGCCCCCGAGGAGGTCGAGATCTTGGGTTTGTGCGCCTCGGGCAGGTGTGTGGCCGCTGTGGAGCTGGGAAGACGGGGGCTGGCGCGGGCGCGCGGGTCTGGGGCCCAGACTCCTGCTGGGCCGCCGCAGGGCTGTTTCCTTCGGTCACTGGATTTTCTTCTTTTCCGGCCTCAGGGTGGCCGACATGACGGCCCCGGGTCAGAGCCCCCTCGCACCGTTGTTGGAGACTTTAGAAGACCCTTCCGCTTCCCACGGGGAGCAGACCGACGCTTACCTGACTTTAACCAGGTGAGGCCGAGTAGGGGTGCGGAGTTCCGGTGCGTCTTGGGATGAGAATAGTTGTGTATTCTAGAAGTCTGGCAGCCGTGAAGCCCTTGGTCGCAGGCGAATTGCGGGGGTTTGGGGGGGCGGTACTCGTGGTAAGTGACGTCTGGGGTGCTGCTACTGCAGCACGCTAGGTGTGTTTAGAATGAGGAAGCCTGCACGTGTGTCTTACAGGCCAAGGATTTTGAAAAACGTGGAAGTGAACATCCTGCAGGGGTGGTTTTCAATGTAAGCCTCCCATGTATTGGGACAATGTGGCAGCTCACAATTGTTTTTAAAGAGCAATATCCTGGATTTATTTTAATTGCAAATATTTCACATTTTTTCCTCCTGCAACTTCGATTTGTCTGAGTTATCTCGTATTTGGAAATTGCTATGAAAGAGTTAACAACTGGTATAAAAAGATAAAGACTTAGTAATTTTGTAAATAAGGATGGGGTTCTCTGTTACTTTCTCACATAGAAACTGATATGTGTATATGGTGGATGCAAGTTACTTTGAGGGGTTTTGTCTTTATAGCAGATGTATATTGCATTCTACACTGTATATCTTAAGTATCTTAATCATTTGCCAGAGTTGTAACAAACTGTAAGAAGATTATGCAACTCTTTTAGGAAGTGATTATAGTTCTTTTTTGTGTTGGCTGTTTGCATAACTTGTGTTCTTTCTGTTTTTAAGTCGTATGACTGGAGAAGATGGAAAAGAAGTTATTACAGAAATTGAGAAAAAACTTCCTCGACTTTACAAAGTTATATCGGTATCTCTATTGCTTATTAGGGATTTTTGTGTGTGGGGGGGGAGTATTATCATTTAAATGATAAAAACTTTGGATTAAAATAATACAACAGCAGTAATAGCAACTGGATTATCATAATGTGTTTTTTTATTTTTGGGTTATGGAGTATTTACACTGTATCACATATTCCCATGCTTTTGTCTCACTGCTTCATGCCTTGGTGAGATTACTCTTTGATCCTCACTTCGGGGATGAATTTGGTTTAACTTGGCCTAAAGGTGCCAATGGTCACTTGAATTCTTATCTTGAAAACAATCATCAGAGATTTTTTTTAATATTTTCTCTCTCTGTTGGATTGTGCTTCTAAGTAAATGATTGTATGATTTTGTCTTTAGTCCACTCTAGGTGCCAGCTATTATCTTGACTTACATTCAGTTTTTCCCACTCTTGCCTGGTTAAAAAGCTTTTATTAAGAACCTGTGTTTTTAAGAACCTGTGTTTTTGTCCTCACTTGAGTACATAGAGGCATTTGTGTCTTTTTAACACCGAATTTAATTTTCCTGTATTTAGATGAAGAGGCTGAATTAAATCTCCAAGGTCCCTTTAAGTTCTATTTTTATGATCTTTTGTGCTTTTAAACAGCTGTTAACCGGGAGCTGAATATTGAATAGTAGCTCTACAAGTCTTAATGTTTAAGACTTTGTCTCTTTGTGATTGTCTGAACTGATTGCCAAAGATCCTTGGATACTTAACTAAGGGAAAAGGGATTTAAATCACCAGCCTCCCTGGTAGCCTAGGGGTTTAGCCTCAGGGCTATCACCCCTATGGCCTGAGTTGGCCTGAGTTCAATCTCTGGCCAGGAAACTAACCCACATATGCTACAGCACACCTCTCCTGTCTCACCTGCTGCTCCCTTTAGCCATGTATTTCAGTAAATCCACCTGTTCTGCTTTCCACTCTGTCTGGTGAATACTCTCAACCCCCCCTCCCCCATACACAAACACCTCTGGCCTGCACCCCAGATCTTGTATGTAAAATAAATAAATCTTTAAAAAAGACAGTTTGTATAAAAAATAACGATAAATCACTTAGAAAATAGGAATGGTATCAGGAAAGATAAGTGGTTACAATAAATGTAGGGTTGGGGGATGTAACAAGATTGCCTTTGACAGTTTGGGGTTTCTTTGCTTTAAGATGTGTGGAGATATTCTTGATCTTTTAAGAAAAATGTTCTTTTATTTACTTGAACTTTATTTGCCAATCTGTATTCCCTTTTTATCTACTCTCAAAGTTTTGTTGATTGACTGGATTAAAAAATAGCTTTTTAATCAGCTTTAGCTCTCTGAAATTGATTTATGATCACATTTTTTTTGTAATGTGTTTTTTGTTTTTCTAGACTCACATTTCTAGTCAAGACTCAGAACTCAGTAGTGCTGCTCTACAGGCTTTGGGGTTTTGCTTATATAACCCCAAAATAACCTCAGCATTATCAGGTAGTTAAATTTTATTATAACGGTGTTCCGTAAAGTTTATATGAATAATTATAAGTATAAACCATTAAGAGTATTGTTCTCTTTAGTTTCATAACTTGTACTGTAAGATTTGCTTTTAAGAAATAAAGTTTAGATTATCTTTGTTGGAAGATTTCTTTTTTCCAAGATGTAATTCTACATTAGATAGCATAAAGTTTGGCTAAAGAAAAATAAGCCTGTTTGAAAATGTTGTGAAAACTCAACCTTTGCCTTTATAAAACACATCTGCCTTGGAAGTTATTTGTTTAGATGGTCATTTAATTTATACAGGCCAATGCGCTGAGGAAAATGCTGAACTGAAAGGTTCTTTAACATAATAAAAACGGAATGATTTAAATTAAAGTGTAATGAAAGCACAGGACCTGATGTTTTCAAATACCCTTAATTGTTGCCTTATAATTGTAAAGAAACCTAGGAAGTGATCTTTAAAGGATGTATATGAGGACTAGGGAATAAGGATATCGGAAGTTGTTACTCTTTCTGAGGCAGAAGTATCTGCATTTTCTTATGTAGTAATCCTAGCAATCTAAAGTGGAAGTTGTTCATTTTGGAGCAAAGGTGTAGGCTACATAGTATGTTGGCAAAAACTGTCTATAAGCCTACTAATGATACCTATGAAAATATCTTACTTGGGGGTCTGTGACCTCTTTTCTCTGAATTAGACCTTCCTAGCTAACTTCAATTTTGTGTTTTGGGAAGAAGTTTGATGGCCATATTGGTTCTCTGATTAGTCTCTCTGGATATGCCTTTAAATTTTTGATAAATGAAGAATGTGTTAATTTTCTGTTTATATATTTTAAAGGATATAAAATTCTTTAATGTAACTAAAGCTATTTGTTTTACAGAGACAAATATTGAAGAACTGCTTTCAAAATTGAACAATGTTGTTAAGAGTTCTGACAAAAATGTACGTACTAGGGCGCTTTGGGTGATATCCAAGCAGACATTTCCCACTGAAGCAGTTGGCAAAATAGTGAGTACAGTTTTTTTATATATCTTTTCAACTACATGCCAGCCAAAAACTTCAGGTTTGTTTGATTTGTATTTATTTGGCCCTGTCTTTTAGGTTTCTAGCATAATTGATTCACTAGAAGTAATACTTAGTAGAGGAGAAATGCATTCTGCTGTTGTTGATTATGAAGCATTGAATGTCATCATAAGGTATGTGTTTTAATGCTGTGCAAATTGGAAGAATATTTTCAGTAAACTTAAAATTTACTTCATTCTGGGAATGGACTTTGGAAACGAGTGTTAGACATCAGAAAGATAACAGGAAGTAAGTAGGTGTGCGTAAGTTACTAGGTGTCTGTTTATTTTTACTGATGGAGCCTTAAAGTCTTGGTCATGCTGTTGCTACTATGTAATAATGACTTTATGAAAATTATCTTTGTTAAAGCTTTTTCAAGACATTTTAAGAAATAATAGACTCCTAGGAGAGCTACAGGCTGTACCTAGGAAGTACCTAGCAGTAAATAAGAGAAAGGGAAATCTCCTATCTTCTCCCTACCCTTCCCTGCTTCTTAACTAACAAGCTAACTAACATCAGAAACTCTTTTGGTAGGGTTTGTCTTACCTATTTTTTGTTATTCTAATGTTTTCCTCAGTTGTTGAGCTATTTGCTTAAACTATTTAAATGTTCTGCCCTGGTTGATGTTTGCATTTTATCTATGTTCCCTTGTCCTCATAAGAACATGAAGATAAAAATAATTAGTATTAAATAATTCTCAGTCTTCAAGACAAAATCATGTTTTTGAAAAAATTTATAAAACTCAGAAATCTATAAGTTAACAAGTAAAAGCTAATCTTATATTGTGTTTCAACATTTATGTCTGTATGTTAAACCAGATAAACCACAATAGGCATATTTGTGAGTGCTGCTTATTTTCCTGGTAGTTTTGACTTAAAAATGACATCAAGTGAATTTATTCATTGATATCTCTATATTTTAGGCTAATTGAACAAGCCCCAGTTCAAATGGGAGAAGAAGCCATTAGGTGGGCAAAACTGGTCATACCTTTAGTGGTTCATTCAGCCCAAAAGGTACACTTGCGAGGAGCAACTGCTCTGGAGATGGGAATGCCATTGTTGCTTCAGAAACAACAAGAAGTAGCATCTATCACAGAGCAGCTTATGACTACTGTGAGTCTTACATTTTTTGGATAGTGCATAATGTTCTGCGCCAAACTTAGAGGGCCCACAATGGTATAATTGTACTGGAATCTAAGAGAAATTAAAACAAAGAATTGCTTGACTTAATGTAGGCATACTGCTTTTACATTCAGTAGGGAAGAGGGTGTATTCAGGTGTTGCTGTGATTCAGACCTTTTAGCCTGTCCCCAGTGAATGGTAAATTGAAAGGAATTGCAGTTCTTGAAAAACATTGACTGATTCAGCACTAATTTTAGTTGTTACTGCATAAACCCAGTAAGTATCAATTTACCACATTTAAGTGTATCTAGTTGTATAGCTTCTTAAAAGTTATTACTTGCCCTGTGTTTTAGGATTTTCAGCCTTTATTGTAGCAAATATTTGAGCACCTGTTATATGCTCAGCATTGTTTCAGGCACTGTAAATACAGCAGTGAACGAAAGGAACCTGTGGAGCGTATTTTCTAGTGAGGGTATAATAAAGTATAAAGAATGTATTAAGTGAAAAGTGTTGTGGAGGACAGTAGGGACTAAACAGAATACCATTAAAGGAAAAATGAGGTGGTCAGGGGAGAAAAAGGATTCGGGTATCTGAACAGAAATTTTAAGATGATAATGAAGTTAACTATTGGGATAATATGAAAGAAACTCAGTCCAGGCAGGAGGAATCATGAGAGCTGTTGTGTAGTTGGTTTGTGTTCAGTGAACACTGAGCAGTAGGATAGTGGGAGGGACTGGGGAGGGGAGGGGAGGAGGGTGAGAAGAGTAGGAGATAGTCAAAGGAACACTTAGTGGCCAAATCACATAGGACCTTGGTGGTCATTGTAAGGATTAGGCTTTCGCTATGGGTTATATTGAGAACCATATTTGAAGGTTTTGGGTCTAGGAGTGATAGATGTACCCATTTAGGTTTTAAGGAATTGCTCTGCCTATGTCAAAGACAGACTCTAAAAGGGAATAAGTAGAGTAGGAGCAGGGAAACTAATTAGGAGATACTGTAGTAATCCAGGCAGTGAAGAAGTCTTCCCAGTTTCTGAAACCTGGGGATTTGTTTATTTTAAAAGTTCGGGACTACTATCTAATAATGTAACTCCAGTATCTCTTAAGTTTTTTTTATTTTAATGAGTTAATTCATTTTTGAAGAGCATATATAAAGTTGTTCATAAATTCTTACTAAAATTTTCTTAGATGTCTTATCCATAAAGTTATTAATGTATTTTTAAGTTATTAGAGTGTAGGTTAAGACATTATATTTGAACTCCAATGATAATGCATGCTGAAGTTTATAGGGAAAGTATATTGGTAGAAAAAAAGCTGAGTTGAAAGAAAAAATAACCAGATATGTGATAAGATAAGCTTAGTAAATTGTTAGTGGTATTTACATTTGTGCATTTGTGTAAAACTTTTTCAGTTTTGCTACAGGCAAACAGGTTTTCCTAATAGAACATTAGGGGAAGTTATTTGGCTGAGATAGTCACTTTGATACAACATATTTTTTTCCCTGTCCAGGAGTCATTGTTAAATATTTTTGCTTTGCTTACAGAAATTGCTTTCAGAACTCCAAAAGCTATTTATGAGTAAAAATGAGACTTACGTGTTGAAGCTATGGCCTTTATTTGTCAAACTTCTTGGGAAGGTATGTTCACCATTAATAAACTCTTCAGCTTTCATTTGCTGTAGACCCTTTCATTTCTTAACTTTAAAAAAAAATAATATTTATTTATTTATGCATACAAGAACTGGGTATAAGCCAGAAGTTCAGGGGGTGAAAGGGTCACCAGAGAGAGTGGGGAGCAGAACAGGCAGATCCACTGAGAGGAACAGCAGCTGAGACCGAAGAGGTCTGCTGTGCCTTGTGGGTCAACTGGTGATAGCTTGATAGCACTGAGACTTTAATCCTTGTACCACCAGGGAGGCCCTGGATTTTAGTTTTAAATGATTCCCAAGTATATGTGAAGAACCATATATGATAAGAAAGACTGATGTCTCGTAGGGGGAGAAAATAGGTGTGTTAGATAAGCTTTTTCTGTCATGAGTTGTGCTGTTGGCCATTAGTTCAATATTAGTGAGTCAGCAAAACATTTAAGTAAGGTGTCATTAAAAAGGTTTATTTACTTGTAAAACAAGGTTGTGTTTTGATTGGTGGAAAATGTAGCTCATTTGTTGATAGTTGTCTTGCTGGATCATACTGTAATTTTTTATGTAAAACTTGATGTTTTTTTACAATAGTTCCTTTGATTTTTGCAAATACATAGGGATGTTGGGTAGTATTCAGAAACATCACAGTAATATTGGTGATTTTCCCGATTGGTGTGTAATGTAATAAGTACAAGGGTTAGTTATATGCAACTGCTGACAAGCCAGTAAGATTGCATTTATGTATCTAATTTTCAGGATTGTTGCTAATCTAGGCTTACTTCAAATAATCTTGCCTTATTGTATCAAAGGCTCAGTTTGCTCACATTAACCTAGTAATAATACTTTTGGTAGTCATGACCAAAGTTGTATATAGTGGGCATAGGGATTAATATTATATCATGTATTGACAGTTAAAAGTTAACTTTCAGTTCAAGGTGCAGTACGTGGCCTTTCCTGAAACTTAGGTCCATTGGCCTAGTGAATCTTCAGTATTTAGGTTTTTGTGTAAAACCATTTTCAGTAGAGCAGACTTCAGTCTGTCATCTCTTTTCTTTGTCCTATTTGAATGACTTTTAGTTATTACCTGTGTCTCCCTGGGCATGAATCTTGAGCAGAGCATCATCCCTTTTTTTTCCTCTTCTTTTGCTTTGTATTTGAAGGTACTTTATTTTGGGACCATCCCTCTTTTCAGCAGATAGGCAAGAACTACTGTTCCCTGTGGAGTATTTCACCATTCTTCTGTTTGCTTTCTCTCACCATTCTTCTGTTTGTTTTCTCTCTTCATGTATATTGATAGTATTCTTTTTCATTTGTATTGTCTCACATGGAGTTGTAGCGCTGACCCTTCAGACCAAAATTGTCTGTTTCATGAGTCTCTTCACTTCTTTCTTTAACTTGTGATTGTCCAAGATATATCTGTAGCTTTATGAATTTGTCTTGTTGCATGGTGCCAAACACCCAACCTCGTGGGTGCAAAGAAGCTCTAAATTTTGAGGTCTTTGAGACCCACAGACTGATACCTAAACCACAATAGGAAAACCTTAGCCCATTTTTGAACTGGGTTTTTGGTTTGTTTTTGAGTTATAGGAGTTTTTTTTTTTTTTTTAATACTCTAGATATTAGTCCCTTATCAATTAATAGATTTGCAAATAATTTTTTCCTATTCTGTAGGTTGTCCACTTTCTTGATAGTATCATTTGATACATACTCCTGTTTTTTTTAAGAGTTGTATAGTTTATAGTTTTGTTATTTAACCATTTTGAGTTTTTTTTTTATCGGTATAAGGCAAGATTCCAACTTTGTTCTTTTGTACTAAAACTGTTCTTACTCACTGGGCTTGATACTGTTAATCAGTTGGCCATATATGGGAATTTATTTTTGGGGCGTTATGCTGTTGGTCTATATGTTTGCCTGTGCTATTAAAATACATTTTTTATTACTGAGGTCTTGTATTTGGAAGTCAAAAAGTGAGTTTCCAACTTTATTGTTTTTCCAGTTACCTTGGGTCTTCCAATTCCATAATGAGTATTGGGGTCCGATGTTGTATTTCTGTGAAAAAGCCTATTGGAATTTTTATATAGAATCTGTAGATTGCTTTGCGTAGTATTGACAGTTTAGCATTAATTCATCCTGTCCATGAACACAGTTGGTTTTCCATTTATTTAGGTCTTTTAAAATTTCCTTCAGCAGTGTTTTGTAGTTTTTTATGTATAAATCTTTTATTTCCTTGGCTTAATGAGTAACAGTAGGTTACCTTATTCCTAAGTATTTAATTCCTTTAGTGGCGTTGTAAATGGTTGAGATTATTGGTTGCTGGTGTGTACAAATGATTTTTTCATATAATGATCTTATAGTCTGCAACAATGTAGAATTAATTTATTTACTCTAGTAGCTTTCTTGTGGAATCTTTGTGGGTTTTTTTTTTTTTTTTTTTTAGATTTATTTTTTATACAATAGCTGGGGTAGGCCAGAAGCTCAGGAGGGTGAGAGGATTCACCAGAGACCGTGGGGAGCAGAACAGGCAGACAGACCGAAGGCATCGCAGAGGGAAGCAGTGGGCGAGTCAGGAGAGGTCTGCCACGCCATGTGGGAATCTCCCTGTCCGGCTGGGAATCTAACTGGCGCTGCAGAGGTCGAGGACAGCTTCACAGCGCTTTGCTCAACCCGCTGCGCCACCGGGGAGGCCCCTCTTTGTGATTTTTAAAGCCAGTTATTTTTGTGGTGTTCAGATTACATCTGGTTTTAGCTTCTTAGACGTGTTGACGTCTTTTTAAGTATTTTTTCTTTGGATTTATTGTCATTTATCCATTTTTGCCCTTCCCATTTGAATCATCTATAATATTTGAAAGTAATTTCAAAGTTATTTATTTTCCTGATTATCTCATTTGTGTTAACAGCAGATATTGCCATACATTTCTTTTCCATGCTCAAAGTTAACTCTTCTCAAAAAGTAATTTGCCTTTAACTGTTCATTTTTTTTAATGCTGATGTTATTTTTGGTGAAAATTAAGGTTTATCTTGCTAATTTTCTCTAGTGTTTTAGAAATGTTTATGTTTATGTATTATCTGCTCCATCGAGCTTTATGCTTTGTGAATGTCCAAACCAAATTAAATACTTTCTAAAGCTTAAACTTCTGACACTGTACATAATTAACACTGAATTAGATGAGTGATGGTAATGTCTATGTATTATTTCATACAGGAAAATAACAGTGATTATTCCTTTTTCAGACTTTGCATCGAAGTGGGAGTTTCATTAATTCTCTGTTACAGCTGGAAGAACTGGGATTTCGTAGTGGAGCACCCATGATCAAAAAAATCGCTTTTATTGCTTGGAAGAGTTTGATAGATAATTTTGCATTAAATCCAGGTAAATAAATATTTTCAATTTTTAATTTTCTGTGGATTTTACTTAAGATGAAAATAACAGCTTTCCTGGATTTGTGAAACTTAACCTATTGTCCAGTTTTTTTGTGTTAAGGGAATAAATTTTAGCTAAAAACAGAATCCAGAGGGAAAGTAGACATTATTGAAAATCAGATATACAATTTCTGTTAAGCCACTGCAAAAACTAAAGAGAGTAACGAATACCATTTGCTGTTCTTTTAGTATATTAGAGCACTTTGTTGCGCTCTTTATGTACCTGTCGTTAATCACAACAGTAGACCTCAGATGTCAAGCACTACTGCTGTTAATGGAGAGGTGATGTCAGTTATCAGAGGTCACATAGTTAATAAATGATAATTGTGATTGCTATGAAGTATCTGACCTTTTTTCTTTCAGAATCTTTAAAACAGAACCTAATAGTAGGTTCACATTAATATATAGAAATGATTCCCTTTAATTTATTTTGACCATGTCCTTCTGTTGTCTAATGGAGATGTTTGATGTGTGTGTGTATAGGAGAAAATATTTAGCCAAAAAAAATGAGTCATTATGTGGGCCTCCCCTGGTGCCCCAGCTGTTGAGCGCTGGGTTGTGAAGCTGCCCGCAGCCTCTGCAGCACCGGTTCAAGCCCCGGCCACTGGCGAGGGTCCCACCAAAAAAAAAAAATTTTTAATGTCATTATGAGTACTTACTTTATTGAATAGTTAATCTTAGTTTAATTGATGCTGCGTGTTTACAAGATCTGCTTTAGTGTTGATTTCATTGTATATCTTTCCCATTAGTAATCCCTTTTCTTCCCTTTTTAATGTATTTTATAAATGATTAATTTTTTTATTAATGTTGGTAAAACTACATTGCAAAACACAAGTTTTATTTTTATTATTTATTTTAAAGATTTTATTTATTCATGCATATAAGAATCAAGTGTAGACCAGAGGTGTGGAGGGGGGTGAGATGATTTACCAGAGACTAAAGTGGAGAGCAAAACAGGCGGATCTACTGAAATACACTGCTGAGGAGAGCAGCAGGCGAAGCTGGGGTTCGGACTCATGTCGCAGTGGCTGGTTAGCCATAGCTTGATAACACTGAGACTTGAATCCCTGCTCCACCAGCGAGGCCTGCAAAGCACAAGTTTTAATTGGAAAAATCACCTTTTTATTGTTTGTGAACTGGTAGGTTGAGATAATATTTGGGGCTAAATGATGAAATCCCATATGGTTGGGTGCTAAAGCATAAAATGGGAGGGGATTAAATAAGATAAGTAAAATGCTATCTTATTTGAAATAAGCCTGAAATAGGTATTATCAATTCAGAAGTGATTAAGGAATCAGATGCCTTTCTGTTGTCTTCTTCAATATGACTTAGTTGGAGACTAGGCAGGAAGCCAGACGAGCAGATAGGAACTATTTTCCCAGCTAAATCAGTTATCTTTGAGGAGCCTTCTAGAAATTCCACATATATTTTATCTTAAATCTCGTTAGGCAGAGAGCCTCAATGGGAGACTAGATAAAGAAGTTAAAAATTGGCTATCTATCATGGTCCATCCTAAATGTAAAACAGGACTTTTAACTGAAGGAGAATGAAATTGGCAATCTCCGTTATAGATAAAGTAGCAATTCAGAATAAATTAATTTTTCCTACAACAGTCTGACTTCATTTTCTTGAAGAAATGTTCATTGAAAACTGAATGGAAAAATAATTGAAAATTCTTAACAGTCTTATTTTGTTTATTTTTTATATTTTTGCTTACACGAGCTGGAGTACAGGCCAGAGATGTGGGGGGCGAGAGAATTCACCAGAGACAGAGTGGAACAGAACACGCAGATTGACTGAAGTACACTGCTGAGGGGATCAGCGGGCGAGTCAGGAGAGGTCTGCTGCGCCATATGGGTTGCTCCCTGGCCAGATGGGGATCAAACTTGTGTTGCAGAGGCTGAAAATTACTTCATAATGTGGTACTTAACCCCTTGCGCCACCAAGGAGGCCCTCTTATTTTATATATCTCGTCATGCTACATGGTACACATCTTAGGTATAAATATTTTGTTGGGCCTCCCCTGGTGGCGCAGGCGGTTGAGCGCAGCGTTGTGAAGCTGTCAGCGGCCTGTGCAACACCGGTTCCATCCCAGCTGGCCAGTGAGGGTCCCAAATGGCGCGGCAGACCTCTTCCTGTTGCGCCCGCTGCTCCCCTCAGGGAGTGCATTTCATCCGTTTGCCTGTTCTGTTCCCTGCTCCGTCTCTGCTGAATCCTCTCACCCTCCCATGCATCTGGCCTGTACCCCGGTTGTTGTATAAATAAATAAATAAATCTTTTTAAAAAAATTTTGTTTAAGCAATTGGATTTAATTTTTATGCTGAATTTTAACAAAGTGATTATTGTTCATGGGTAGTAGACCTGAACTAAAATGAATCAATTTAAATTTCTGAAGTCCACTTAATGGCACTAACAGTATAATAACGTTTTATAAAATAACTTACTGGTAAAAATTTATTAACAGCTTTTTATAACTGTAAAATATGCTTTGATTTTTTTAATCTAGAAAATGGGGATAATAAACTAAAATAGCTTAGCATTTCTCAACACTTTGGCATATGAGACTGGTCATTTTGTTGAGAACTGTCCTGTGTGTTGTGGGAAGTTATAGCATCATCTCTAGTTGCAACCTGCTAGATAATATTAGTATACTCTGTTGCCTCTCAGTTGTAATAACCAAGGATATTAGTTAAAATTTCCAATTGTCTCTGGGTGGGAAAGTCGTCCCTGGCCACACAGTATCCATAAATAATACTCCCCCCTCCCCTTTTTTAAGTTGTTGACTTCTAAGTGTTGTGGTCTAGCTGTATCAGAGTCAATCAAAATGAAAATTTTAGTTGAAACAGGAATACCTAGTGGCTTTAATTTTTTTTTAAAAGATGTATTTATTTATGAATACAAGAGCTAGGGTACAGGCCAGAGGTGTGGGGAGGTGAGGATTCACCAGAGACAGAGTGGGAGCAGAACAGGCAGATTGAAATACAGTGCTGAGGGGAGCAGTGGGCAAGTCAGGAGAGGTCTGCTGCACTATGTGGGTTGCTCCCTGGCCAGCTGGGGATCGAACTCGTGCAACAGAGGCTGCGAACAGCTTCATAGGTTGCTTCTTGACCCCTTGCGCCACCAGGAGGCCTGGCTTTAAATATTTTAACTTACTGTCTTGCTATGGTAAAAATAAAGTGTTGCATAGTCATTCTTAAAATCTAATGTTTACTTCTTAAATGTCATTACCTGTGCTTATTTTATTTAAGAAATACTGTGTAGTGCAAAAAGACTGAAGTTGTTAATGCAGCCTTTGAGTTCCATTCATGTGAGAACAGAAGCTCTAGCACTAACAAAATTAGAAGTCTGGTGGTATTTATTGATGAGACTTGGACCTCACCTTCCTGCTAATTTTGAACAGGTAATATAAGTGTTGACTGTCATACTTTTTATTTTATTAATGTATTCTTAAATTCTTACCAATTTAATTTTGTAGTTTTTGCTGTGTGTAAGCAAGATCATAATATATATGATCTGACACAAAGCTTGAGTTTAATTCTTCAAAGGAATTTATTTCTAATATGGAGCCTCCTAATTTTTTTTTCTCTTAACTTTTCTAAAATGGAGCCTCCTAATACCTTCTCAGTCAGTAAGCATGTAGTTATCTATTCTTACTTTAGAAGCAATGTGAGAGATTTTTCAAAAGGATTCTAATGCAGTTAAGAATAAAATTGAGAGTAAAAGTACCATTGCTTATGTATAAATAAATAAATAAATCTTTAAAAAAAAAAGTACCATTGCTTAAATTAAAATCAGATATTATAGTGGGTACATAGAAAATTGGACCAGTTGTTATTATTTTAGTAGTTTATCAAAAGAATCTATTCCTTGGACTCAGATATTCATGTTTCATAGTTTGGGAAACACAGATCACTGGCAGACTTTCATGAAAGTCGATTCAAAAAGTACTTTACCAAATTAGTTTGCACTCTGAAAGATACCAGTCTTTTTTCACCTCTTTAAAATCTTTCATGGAATCCTCATTTCTGTAGAAATCTACATGTGTCATCTTTCTTGGTTCAGCTACAGTAAACTTACAGAAAGCTTCAACCCACAGGGATACAATGAATATTCTGACTGCCTGAAATCAGATGCTTGGCCGGAAGGCCATTCATCTAAGGTTTCATCAAAGCACTGTAAGTTATGGTTATAGTTGTCCTTAATCAGATGTCCTTCCAGTGGGGTTTTTATGTTTGTTTTTTCTTTTGTTTATCTTTTTCTAGGCTAAATAGCAGTAATCATTTCATCTCATCTTTTTTTTTTTTTCTTTTTTTAGGATTTATTTATTTATGCATACAAGAACTGGGGTACAGGCCAGAGGTGGGGGCGGTGAGAGCATTCTCCAGAGACAGAGTGGGGAACAGAACAGGCAGATTGACTGAAATACACTGTTCAGGGGAGCAGTGGGCAAGTCAGGAGAGGTCTGCTGTGCCATGTGGGTCACCTCCCTGGCCGGGGATCGAACTCGTGCTGCGGATAGCTTCACGGTGCTGCATCTTAACCCCTTGTGCCACCAAGGCGTCCCCTTCATTTATTTCTTACTTTGGATGTTGGACTATATTTTATTTTGGTTCCATAGTCCTTGACATCTAGGCTTTATAATAGAATAGCCGTGAGTATATTTTTAGAAAGGAGGACTTAAGTATGCTTGAATTTTTAATAAGCTTAATTGTTTAGTATATTGATATGTTTAAAATTGTGAGAACATGAACTGGTTGTTCTTGGGCGTTGATAGCAATAAGTAATTGGGATCATTGTTCCATTATTGGGTTCTAGTATGCTAATATCTAGTTGTTTCATGCAATCATTGGCATAATTGAGTAGATTTGACAAGTAATGGAATGATCTCAGACATGAACTTGAAGTTGTCTTTTTTTTTAATGCTTAAGATAACAGTTCCCCCCACACACACACACAAAAGAAACATAGGTTTATTACAAAATTTGAAAAAAAAAATACTACTCCATATATTGAGGTAGTTTCTCATTTACCTTACAAACGTAATTGAACTCATTGTGTATACCAATTTGTGTTTTACTTTTTATTATAGTAATAGTATTTTTTTAGGTTTTATCCTTCTATTAACATACAGGAAATACAATAAACTTGATACCTCACCATCCAGATTTAACCAGTATTGTAATTTTGCCAGGCTTGGTTTGAATCTTGCTCACGTTTTCTTTTTTTTTTTCTTTTTGCATAGAAGGACTGGGGTGTAAGCCAGAGGTGTGGGAGGTAAGAGGATTCACCAGAGACAGTAGGGAGTAGAACAGGCAGATTTACAGAAATGCACTAAGGAAAACAGCCAGTAAAACAGGAGAGATCTGCTGTGCCATGTTGGGTTAGCTCCCTGGCCTGGGGACCGAACAAAGTCACATTGATCAAACTCACACCTTCACAGTAATAGCCCTGATACTTAACCCCTAGGCCACCAGGGAAAGTACTCATGTTTCTTACAGTGCATTTTTTTCCAAAGCTTAAAATGAATGTCTACTAATAATTTTAAAACTTAGAAGTTATTTGCAGAAGTTACTATGTATAATTTTCCATCTGGAATTTAGAACTAAAATTTTTAGATGAGATGCACGTAGGGCAAACAGTTGCAATAAAAATTTTTCCTTTTCCAAATTTGAGTTTTTAGCCTGTGTATCAAAGCAGTCATTAAAGTTCAACATATCAAAATAATTTAGACTGTTTAAAGTAATTTAACTGTATTATGTAAGACTTGTGAAAAAAATGTGAGTTATGCAGATTTCAGTTTTCCTTTTGTTTTTACCCCTCTGTAGGTTTGTGTGCCTCTGATTCAGAGCACAATAAGCATTGATTCTAATACTTCACTTCAGAGCACTTCACCTCGTGTAGCTACTTCTCCAGGTTTGAATCCTGTTACTCCTGTACACAAAGGTAAGAGGCTTACATACTTTTTTCTTTTTAAAAAAAAAAAGACTGAAGGATTTGCTCAGTGGTGGTTGCAATGCAACACTTCATAATTTGGGCTCTCTCAATATAAACTCCATTATACCTGTTTGTTTTCCTTATGTGGTAATGTTTACTATTGTAATTGCATTATTGTAATTGCAAATTACTGGTTTTTTTTTCAGCTTCATTTTGTGAGGTCTATTACAAATAATTTTTTGAGACTCAGATCTATCAAATAGAAAGATCTTAAGAAATGTGACTTAGTATGAATACATTTGAAAGAAAAGATTATTTGCTATAAATTGTTAGCTATTTTGAGTCAAATATAATTATGTTTCAGAAATATCTGCATGGTAATATTTCAAGGTATTGATTAACACCTTAGAATTATCTTCATTAAATGTTTTGTGTTGCTAATCTAGTAAGATTACTTAAGAACTGTGATGCGCTCTAAAAAAAACTCAGCTTTGATTTGAAGAACTTTTTACTTCTGAGGTACATTTTAGTGAAATAAAGTAAGTAAAATATGATCATTTTGATAGTGTAAACTTCCATAATTTTGTTTTTCAGGTGCTTCCCCATATGGATCACCAGGAACTCCCCGGATGAACCCGAGTTCAAATTTTGGTGGAATGGCCACAATTCCCTCTATTCAACTTTTGGGACTTGAAATGTTACTTCATTTTTTATTGGGTCCAGAAGTCTTGAGCTTTGCTAAGCAAAACAAACTCGTACTGAGCTTAGGTATTTACTTGTTTTTAAATTGTTTCAGTTATTAATATAGTTCAGACAGACTATATTGCATTAGAGTGAGAAAAGATATTATTTTCCCACGACAAAATAACCTGTGGTTATGTATCAATAAATGTAAATCTTTTCAATAGCAAACCCATGTCAGACTACCTGCAATTTTGTATTGAGAAATTTATGTCATAAAACATGTTTTGTATGATTGTGTTTTTTCCCTCTTTTAGAGCCACTTGAACATCCATTAATCAGCAGCTCATCTTTTTTTTCTAAACATGCAAGTACACTTATCTCTGCTGTTCACGATAGCTTTGTTGCAGTTGGAAAAGATGCTTCTGGTAAATATTTAAGAGAAAGTTGTTTATTTTTTGCATTTAACAAGAAAATAGTAAATATTTCATAGTGCCACCTATTGGTCAGATTATGCTACAATCGTTTTGTATATATAGTGTCCCTTATCCAGTTTCTTGTTCCTTGGTTTTAATTCTCTGCAGTTCACTGTGGTTCAAAATAGATTACATTCAGTAAAATATTTTGAGAGACCATTATTATAATTGTAATTGTTGTTAATCCTTTGTTATGCCAAATTTTATCATTTTAGCTTTATCTTAGGTATATACATATATATATATAGAGAAAAAACATAGTGTATGCACAGGGTTCAGTACTAATTAATCTCAGGCAACTACTGGGAGTCTTGGAATGTGTCTCCTGTGGATGGCAGGGGACTACTGTAAATCATTTAATCTTCACAGTAACCATTTTATTCAATTTTGCTGATGAGGAAGTTGGGTTGTAAAAAAGTAATAACTCATGCAAATTTACATGGTGTTGGGGCTGTGATTTAAACCCAGTCTATGTTGGCTCTAGCATCTCCACCCAAATACTGTGTTATACCTATCAAGTAAGAAGAAATTTTAAAAATTACTTTGCTTTTTAATTTGCTAGGAAATTTTTTTCATGTGGTTTTCAGGTATCCTTCCGAATCTAATTCTTCATCTCAGAAGTGATAGGTATTTAATAAAGAATTTATAGATGATGGAAGGAAATTGCCCTTAGTTTCATGACCTGGTCGTATTATGTTATAGTCCTTTTGAAAAAATACATTTAGTTTTTAAATAAAAATGGTGATAGTGTTTGTAAACAAATTACAAGTTTGAATGTTATGTTTAAAGATTTATTTATTTATGTATATAAGAACCAGGGTACAGGCCAGAGGTGTGAGGGGGTGAGAGGATTCACGAGAGACAGAGTGAGGAATAGAACAGGCACACTGACCAAAAATACATTGCTGAGGGGAGCAGCTGGTGAGTCAGGAAAGGTCTGCTGTGCCATGTGGGTTGCTCCCTGGCCAGCCAGGGATCGAACTCATGCTGCGATATCTTTATAGGTTGCATCTTAACCCCTTGTGTCACCAGGGAGGCCCTGTACTAACCAGGCCCAATCCTGCTTAGATTCTGAGACCAGATGAGATTGGGCGCATTCAGGGTGGTATGAGAGAATTATATTCTAAGTTATTAAGTATTGCTCAGTTTATTTCTTTAGATTAAGGATAAAATGAGGAGCCTTTATAGTCTACTTTATTGTAAAGTAAATATGCTTTATATTGTTTGACAGATGTAGTTGTCAGTGCTATTTGGAAGAAGCTAATTAGCTTGGTGAAGTCAGTTATTGAATCAGGTAAGTTACTGTAACAATGATCAAATGATTATAGCATGGGGTAAATTATTTGGCCCTTATATAGAAAATTATTTTAAAATCATCTTTGAAGTTTTAGAGCTTTCAGATTTTTAATTTACTCAAACCAATTATTTTGATTTAATAAAAATTAATTTCATAGATAAGGAGTGTATTTTACCTCTAAAAGTATACTGTATTTTCACCCCTACAAATGTTTAGAAATACACTCTTCTTTTACTTTTCGGTAGGTAACAAAAAAGAGAGACCAGGATCTGAAGTTTTGACCCTATTATTAAAATCTTTGGAAAGTATAGTCAAATCAGAAGTATTTCCTTTATTGAAAACACTGGTAAGTATTGTACCTACACACTAGACTTTTTTAAAAAGATATATTTGTTTATGTATACAAGAGCTTTGGTACAGGCCAGAGGTTCTGGGGGTGAGAGTATTCTCCAGAGACAGAATGGGAAACTGAACAGGCAGATTGACTGACATATACTGCTGAGGGGAGCAGGGGGCAAGTCAGGAGAGGTCTGCTGCGCCATGTGGGTAGCTCCCTGGCCAGGGATCGAACTCGTGCTGCAGTGGCTTGGATAGCTTCCTAGGTTGCGTCTTAACCCTTTGTGCCACCAGGGAGACCCAACTTGTTCATTTTAATTGTTTTTCTGCTTTTAACTTTCTAGACTAATGCAAATATATTCACAAATATGTAAATATTACTATATTTGAGATTTTAACTGAGAATGTATTTACATTAATGAATTTTATTTATAAATTAAAGAACAGTTCATATTACTCGATTTGTCCTAAGTAGATTGCTGTTTCATGGTTAATATACAGTAAAACCTTCTATCTTTTTTAGGTTCTTATGGAAATTACAATTAAAGGACTTCCTGAGAAAGTTTTAGGTTCACCAGCATATCAGGTTGCTAATATGGATATTCTTAATGCAAGTATCTTAAATGTAGTGATTTGATTAAAAATAATTTTTAAAAAATCCGTGATAGTTCACTTTCTTAAAATAGTAAAAGATTGTAAAATTTGACTGTTGGATTTGGATATGCTGATAAGGAAGACACTGATAAGAGTAATGGGTTAATGGAATTCTTTCTGTATTCAGCAGGATTCTGAAAGGTTTTTGATTTGCTTATACACAATAATATTGCTGGATACTGTTAATAAATTTTGGACAGTTAATACATTGGCTTAATTATGTGAAATGTATATAATAATTAGGATATAGACACATGGTTTAACTTAATTTTTAACTTACGATATAAGTTTCAAGTTAATTTTTTTTTCATATCTGCAATCTTTTACCCTTTACCAGTTGCTCATGTGGATGAAACATCCAATGATATTTCTGTATGCTTTATGGAAATGCATTTGCTATCACTTTTATCATCTAAGTAGTCAAAAGTTAAATTTCTGATACTTATAAAGGACCATATGTCACATAATTGATGTAGAAAACAAGTGTAACAGGATTTTTTTTTTTTTTGTAACAAGAAGATTGACTACAGTCTTCCATCTTTCTTTAGGGAACTCCTGCATTGTTCTTAATTCAATTAATTTTCAACAATAATCTCTTGGAATGTGGTATAGAAGATCAAAGGTAATTTAAACTTAAGCCTTTTTATCTTGAAAAGAGTTATGAATGACATTCTTTTAAATAATATGTATTATAAAAGTTTTTAAGAAATTAGAGATCTGGAGTTTATCATTTCCTTGGCAGCTAGGTTTAGAATTTTGTTACATGTTATTTAATTTGGCAAAAACTTTAGATTTTAAAGCATGGTTCAAAATTTTTTTTCAGATTTTTTTTCAATCTTGAAGTACTTGTAGGCTGTGTTCTTTCTGGCCCAACTTCACCACTAGCTTTCAGTGACTCTGTTTTAAATGTTATTAATCAAAATGCAAAACAGTTGGAAAACAAGGAGCATCTCTGGAGAATGTGGAGTATTATAGTCACCCCATTAACTGAATTAATTAATCAGGTATGACATTTATTGTACATATTTCTCCCCCCCCTTTTTTTTTTTTAAATATTTATGCATGCAAAAACTGGGTACAAGCCTGGGGTGTAGGGAGTGAGAGGATTCACCAGAGACAGAGTGGAGAACAGAACAGGCCGATCTACTGAAATGCACTGCTGAGGGGAGCAGGGGGTGAGACAGGAGAGGCCTGCTGCAGCACGTGAGTCACTCCCTGGCTGGGGATCAAACTCATGCTGCAGTGGATGTGGATAGCTTCATAGGTTGTGTCTTAACCCCTTGCGCCACCAGGGAGGCCCTCCCAAAATTTATGGAATATTTTCCCTTTTTATTTTTGCTTAGAATCAAGAAATTAATAGAAGTTTTCACTTGAACAGGAGATTGATTAGATGTTTTTTTCTTGTGGCTTGGGTAATTTTCTACTCATTAGGTTAGTTGATTGTTTTTCCATTTCATTTCAACCTCATTCAAGAATACATGATGTATTGGGAACTAATTAATTCCATTTCCTGCAGTAGTGATTATAACACATGACACATCTAAATTCTCGTATTTATATATCCGTTTTTTTTTTGTTTTGTTTTTTTTTTTTTTTTTTTTTTCAGTGAAAAGGAAATGGTAATGGCCATCTTGACTGGGCTATATAATCTAGGATTCTCATGGTCAAACCATGTTTGTGATTACCCCAAAGCCACATTCTAGTCCCAAAGCCAGTAATGTGTGTGTGTGTGTGTGTGTGTGTGTGTGTGTGTGTGTGTTTGTTTTATTTATTTAATTATACAAGCACTGGGTACAGTCAGAAGTGCGGGAGGGTGAGAGAATTCACCAGTGCCAGAGCAGGGAGCAGAACAGGCAGAAGGACCAAAGAACAGTGCTTAGGGCAGCAGCGGGTGGCAGGAGAGGTCTGCGCACCATGTAGGGCCCTCACCCGGCAGCCAGGGATCGAACTGGTGCTGCGGAGGCTGCGGGCAGCTTCGCAACCCAGCGCTCAACCGCTGCGCCACCAGGGAGGCCCGACCTTTGCGATTTTTTTAAGATATAAACACACTGCATTAGTTTTCCAGACTTATTGTAACAAATTACCACAAACTGGTGGCTTAAAGCACCAGGAGTTCCCTCATAACTCTGAGGCCAGAAATCCAAAATCAGTATGTTGTCAGGGTTGGTTTCTTTTGGGGGGGGGGGAACCTTTCATACCTGTCATTTATTTTGGTGTTCCCTGGCTTGTAGATGGATCACTCCAATCTCAGCTTCCATCTTCACATGGTATTCATCCTTGTGTCTCTGTCTATGCAAATTCCCCTTTTCTTATGAGGATGTTAGTTTCCTGATCCATTATAACTTCGTTATTATTTGATTACATCTGAAAAGACCCTGTTTTCAAATACTGTCATTTACCATTATCAGGAGTTAGGAGTTCACCATCTCTTGGACATCTCAACATCAGGGGACACAATTCTACTCTACCCATAGTAAGATATTACTAATTAGAACTGGAATTGGATGGTAATTTGCTTACCTTTGTTATTTTTCTTGTTTCAGACCAATGAAGTGAATCAAGGTGATGCCTTAGAACATAATTTTAGTGCCATCTACGGTGCATTGACTTTACCAATAAATCATATTTTTTCAGTACAGAAATTTCCAGTGGTAAGACAATATCAAGTTTTTGCTTGAGGAATTTGCATTTTCCTGAATATGTTATTTTTATCCTTTACTAATAAACTCCTACAGTATTTTTTTCTAAAATAAGACATTTTTTACTTTATTAGATTAGGGGAAAGCAGAGTAGTCTAAGGGAAGAGAAGTTTGACCTTTAATCATCGCTGGTGTATTAATGCAGCATAGCATTATTAAAATTCTTCAATTAGAACTTTAATGAGAGACAGGGACTGCAAACTTACTACCCTACATCATCATTTCTTTGATACCTTAAACAAAAGTGTTAAAGATATACTATTGGGTGTTTGATAAGGTAGATAAACATTTCAGAAGTTTCTTTATTATTGTTATTAGGCCACCATGAAGACATTACTTAGAAGTTGGTCAGAATTGTATAGAGCATTTGCCCGATGTGCAGCTTTGGTGGCAACAGCAGAAGAGAATTTATGTTGTGAGGAGCTTTCTTCCAAGATATTGTCCAGTTTGGAAGCTGAAGACCTTGTAGTGAGTTTATCCATACTGATCTTTATGTTTGTTCTTTTCAAGTAAATGAAGGTAACATTGTGAACTGTCATTTATTAATGCTTTTAATTTATAGGTGACATAGTTATTACATTAAATAGCTTTTTAAAACAGTTGTGACTCTGGACTTTAAGGCCCATGTTTCCGGGACCACCATCAATGATACACGCTTACTACTCTGTTGTATACTTGTTTGTGCCTGTGCCATTCTCGATTTAAAGTGAGTCCTTTGGAAAGTTAGTAGACTTCAAAGCATAGGTTCCTTTTTACTCCTTTCTCAATAGACTAACAGCTTGGTGTATGTCATTCTAGGAAAAAAACCTTTCTTTGTATTTGTTTATGCATACTTTACATATTGATACATTATGTATAAAAATGTGGTTTTCTTACCAATTGAATTCTATGTTTATTACTCTTGTTTTTCATGTGAGAAGATGGCTATTTAGCTCTTGATAGTGATTACAACTGGAGAGAAAAAGTAATCTATGACAAGCTATAATTTTAAGTTCAAGTTTTTAATGCATTTTATGGCATATATTTATTTTAAAATACTGGCACAATTCTGATTATTGCATTTTGATGCGATAGGATTTGTCAGTGTCTTTAAAAAATTTGGTCACTTTTTAAAAACACTTTTATGTAACTTTAGGTTGCATTTGAAATACAATCTGAACTGCTTGCAATTCCTTCTTTCTGCCAGGAATCTTGTTTAAGTAGACTTGTTAATTTCAGTCATAGTACTTTGTTATTTCCTTTTTTGGCACTTAGCTCAAAATCATCAGTGTACTTGATTGTTTTACTTTACACTCACTCCCTGGGACTTTCTGTCTTGTTGATGTATAACCATGGCATTTATGTAGCACTTAGACACTGAATTTATTTAACAAATGGGGAGAAAGCCTGCTTACATTTATTACCTCTTAAAATTGTCTTGGTTCGGTATACATATTTGTTCTCTTTCAGAGAAATTTCAGAATTTGTCAAGTTTTATAAAATACCCTGTTGAGATTTTGCTTGCAATAGGTTTATTATATTGAATTCATAAATTAATGAATTCATGAATCTTCCCATCCAGAAATACTTGCGTTGTCTGTTTAGTTCCTCTCTCTAATGTCACTTAACCAAACTAACTTGCTTAATTTTTGTTAGTTATAAACCTATTTTTCAGTTATTTTAAATGGTTCCTTTCACCATCACTCATCCCCACACACAAATCATTCTTAGATGGTGGTCTACATAAAAAGTGGTGCTAAACTGCACTTCCTTACATTTACCCAGTCATGTGTCTTTGAGACAGCCGTATTGGTCACAGTGAAATTCTTTTAAACATTGCAGGTTAGTGTTTTATAATTTTTGGAAGTATCTTTATTGTGAGATTAGGTTGAAGCTCTTCATTGTCCAACTTACTATGAAGAAAGTAAAGTTTTGAATAATTTATAAAGTTATACTGTGTTCGCCAATTTCAGTGTAAGAAGACTGCTGTAGCCATAGTTACATTGTCCCTTTAGTCTTATTTTTATTTTTTTGGTTGGTCTTGATGATAAAAGATTTTCCTATTTTAAATCTTAAAAAAAAATCAATGTTTAGTTTATTAATCACTAAATTAAGCCCTCTGACATTGGTATTTTGTTAGAATACAATAGTCAGAATTACAGCAATATTTATAAAAGGGAAACTAAAATCCTGGAAAAGGTAATTTTTAATTCTTAATTTTATATGCCATTACTTAAGATAGTTTTTGTTCTATGTTTTTGATTGCATCTTTTTCAGTAACGTCCAATACTATTAACTGCTGTCAATAATCATAAAACAGTAATTTTCATGTCTTTAGTATAGGGTTATTTGAAATGATGCTTTTTCACCTAAGAGAATAGTTTACAGAAGTGTGTGGCTATTTTGCTATTAATTTTTGGTTGTAATCAGAGCGGATTGTCTTATATAACTTCTAATTTAGGAATCTTCTACATTACAGCTCTTTGTGGTGGTATTACAATTGTTGCCCATTTCTGTGAGATTAGATAGTGTCTCTGATTATGAATTTGATGTATTTAAATATTCATTATTTTGATGCTATGTTGACATTTGTGTGCTGTGTCTAAAGTGCCATGATTACATGTTCACAATAAAATGTTACTTTTTATTGCCTTTTTCTTGAATTTTACAAACTTGAACATAGTATTTGTACCCTTTTAAAAAATGTCTTTTAAAAGAAACAACTTGCATGCAGAACAATATAAAAAATTGTATATAACAGTGCAGTTCACGTAGTTAACACATTATGATGAAATACTTATGTAACTTTACCAAAGTCAGTTTCGAGAGCATCATCAACAACATCTCAGAAGTGTCACCCTGTGCATTTTGACTCACCAGTAATCTCTCCAGAAAGTGTGAATTACTATCCTGACTTAGTTCAATAATCATTTCTGTGTTGTTGGACTTTTTTTAAAATGTTTTTTACCCCACACACATACACTATATGCATTTGTTTAGCATTTCCTCTTTTTGAATTTTATATTAATAAAATTATATGGTGTGTCTTTTGTAGTCAGTATTTTCCATTTTATGTTTTGTTGAGTTCATTTGCTTTCATGATATATTATTCCAGTCTGTGGACTTAGGGTTTTTTTATAATATGTTGTTGCTGAAATTTGTTTCTTATATCTATTTTTTCTCCTTGTTTTGATCTTGTTTTGATTCAGTGTATTCTTTGCCAGCAAACTTACATGTGTTGATATAGAACTGATACTTTTGTAATAAGTTCATTGGTTATGATTTTTGCATCAAAAGGTTTTAAAGTACAGATTGTTCATTTGTTGTAATAGCTTGTGCTCTTACAAATGTGTAGTTTTGATATGAGCCTTTTTATATTAATTTTTTCTATAAAGTTTTAGGATTTTTCCCTTTGGAATTTAGACACAAGGTATATCCTGGAGGATCTTTTTAAGTTATTTTTTAAGTACTTAACAGATCATTTCACTCTAACGGCCTATTGCCTTCATCTAAGGAAAGTTGCCTTGTTTTAGAGATGCTCAGTGTTCCTGAGCCATTTCAGGTGGTTTTTAGGCCTTTTGGGTTTATCGTCTTACGTTCCTTACTTTTCTTTATCTCGTATGTATTTGTGTTTGGTTATGGTACTGCTTTCTGAGAACCTGATATTTCTGTGTGCATTCCTTTGTGTTTTGTTTTTACAAATGGTTTTGTTTTTACATTTAATGTTATATGTGAATATGATTTACTCTTAGCTCCATTTCTCATTAGCTCTTTCCTCATGGATTGGTTCAGCTGATATTTAGTACACTTTATTCATGGTACTGGTTTTCCTTATGATTATGTGCATTTGTTAATAAAGGTGATTATTTAGCAATATTGTTAGCTGGAATGTTTCCTAACCCAGAAGAGAACCCCTGTTTTTCTGACTTTGATAGCAAATTGTAGTTATAGGCATCCTTGCCTTGTAAATTGTAGGCAAGAAGAAAGTACCTGAAACTTTAACATCTTTTGTCTGAGTAAATTGTTTTTCTGGATTGATCTTCAGTTTGGTTTTCATTGAATAACTGGCACACTTCCTTCCTCCAAGTGACCCTTAACGCACTCATTGGTGGGAGGCTATCTTTGGGAACAGATAGGTTAATTAGTCCAATGAAGAAGACGTGGAAAATAAATGGAGAGTGTGCAACTGTTTTTATAGTCTCTAATTTTGGAAGTCTTAAATTAGCTATTTGATTTTTTTAATATCTCCTAGATCTTTTTATGAGAACCCTCATTGTGTCTTCTGTTACTGAGAACTGCTGCTAGGAAAGTTCGTTTTATAAGGTGTTGTTTGACTCTTGGTGATGGGACTTCCTTTGTTTTCCGTCTCCCCCTCATCTTATCTTTAAAAGATAATTCCCAGAAGACCTAATGAGTATATGGGTTTATTTTTATATAACTATATACTTGATGTACTTTATGTGTTATAAACTGTGGTATGTGTTAATGTGTGAGGTAAAATCTTGTATTTTTGTTGATGCTTGCTATTTTTGAAAACTACTCCAGTAGAAAATTTCTATTTTTTTTTCTAGAACTTGTTGTTCTTGGAGAGGATCATTCATATTATTACTATAATGGTTGATTGCATCGACTTCTCCCCATATAATGTTAAATATCAGCCCAAAGTTAAATGTAAGTATTTTTTTGAAACTTTATTTGTTCACTCAGTGTTGTATAAACATAACTTTCTGAACCATTGTCAAGGCTGATAAGAACTAATACTAATTGCTTTTCCCATCTCTTTTTATCTGTGATTTTGTACAACCATATCCGTTAACTATGCTAAGAGCTCATATGCCAAGTACCCTTTCTCCCTCACTTGCTCCTGGGCCACACAGTCACCTTTCCCCTCTACAGACGTAATCATTTTATTCCTTTCTATATACACAAAGATAAATGTTACGCTATCCTCTTGGTACAAAGGATTAGTTGGGCAAGAAATTTTGAAGTTTGTTAAAATGTTTTTATGTGGTGATTGATTTGAAATAATAAATTAAGTTGACATTTAATTGAATAGAAATCATAGAATGGTAAATTGAGTATGGTTTTATATAGTACTACAGGAAATTTTAAATTCCAAACATTTTGGCTCAGTTTTACCAATTTATTTAAAATTGGACAATTAAAATCATAACAGGTTTTCTGATTTTTGAAACTGCAAACTTAACTAATTCCAATTTACATTGTAATAAATGCCGAACTACTTTTATCTACATATATACTTTCATCTACATATATTCATAATATATAGGAAATAACCTCCTACTGAAAATGTTAACATTTGAAGCTATTTTTCTTGTTAAAGATTAGGAATATACTCAGTTTTCCTTTTCTAAGATCTGTCGTTAATGAATTAATGCAAAGCTTTCTAGAATGTAAAATATTTCTAGAATTTTTTGTGTTTGCATTTTTACTAAATAATAATATACAGAAACATGTTAAGTACCTAAAGTATATTAAAAGGTCAGAACATCCCAATTTCATTGCCACAGAAATTGCTTACAGATGTGCTTGAACTTTTTTTTTAAAAGATTTATTTATTTATTTATTTATTTATTTATTTATACAAGCACTGGGTACAGTCAGAAGAGCAGGAGGGTGAGAGAATTCACTAGAGACATAGCGGGGAACAGAACTGGCAGACTGACGAAATACACCGTTGAGGGGAGCAGTGGGCGCGGCAGGAAAGGTCTGTTGCGCCATGTGGGGCCCTCCCTCCCCTGCAGCCGGGGATCAAACTGGCGCTGCAGAGGCGGTGGGCAGCTTCACATCCCAGCGCCACCAGGGGAGGCCCTGTGCTTGAATTTTTATTTCAGCTTCTGTGTTGACCTCAGCATAACCTAAAATGATTATGTACCAAAGGATATCGGAAATTACTTTGTAAGACAGAAAGTTTGATAGGCTCAAGATGATGAACTCCATGTTGACATTTACTCCTTAGTTTGAAAAATTGAACCAGTGTCCATCTATCCATGATCTGTAAACCCATAATTACAAATATCTTACATATTTTTCATCACTTATCTCGATTCCATCAGGATCTCTGGGACTTTTTTTGATAACATTATTTTGTAATTTTTAGATTTAGAGAAACATAACAATTATACACGGATACCTTATCTTTTACTCAGACTCCTCAGTCAGTAGTTGTTTTCATTTGCCTTATTATTTTTATCCCCTCCCCCATTTTTTTTCCTTTAGTCATTTTATGGTAAAATGCCACAAGTCTTTAACCCAAAATATTTCCTGTGTTATCTTTTATGACATATGAACAGCACAAAGTTAATTTTAAGAGTTTCTCAATGAGAGCTTTTTAATATTTCCTCAAGATTAGATTTAAGTTTCATCCATTTTTTTTATCGTACAGATGTGTAATGGAACCACATGTGATGAGATCAGTTTTCCTAGAAGCTAATTGATAGGAACAAGTTAAAATTTCTACTGTGTATTTCTGGCCACAGAAGCTTCACCAGATTTCTAAACAAAGATTCCAGACACCTGTAATAGTAAACAGTAATTTGTATTCATTCATCCATTTTCCAGCCTGCTAATTTCATTCCAGGATCTTGGAATGAATGCATAAGAATGCAAGTCAGGAACCAACCCTGGACAGAATGCTTTTCCATTGCTGGGCACACAAACATGTATGCCCACTTACACTAGAACAGTTTCTACATGTATGCCCACTTACACTGGAACATATATGCTCACTTACACTGGAACAGTTTAGACATGCTAGCATATTCACTTAACATGTACATCTTTGAGATCTGAATGGAAACCTTAATGCTTGAAGATGCCCCATGCAGACTTCTGGAGAAAGTAAAAAGTCTACACAGACAGTAGCCACACTGGTAATAGATATCCCCGCCCCATCAGCATTATATATAACAAAATGACAATGAATTTTATATTGTTTGAGGACCTGCTGTAAAGCCGTGGTGTCTTTTTCAGTGCTATACCAACAAACATACAGATCAGTTTATCTGATAACTGATGATGCTAACATTGCTTGGTTACTAAGATGGTATCTACTAAGTTTTGCACTGTAAATTAGCAAGTTCTTATAATAAATAAATTCATGTTTTGTGCAGATATTCTGACACTGTGGAAATAACCTTTTCATAGAAAACTGACTCATCTGTCATCTGTTACTGCTTTTTGCCTCAGACACTACAGTACATACTGCAAAGCAATAATTCATACTGATTCACTTGCTTACATTAGCTTGTATCTATTTTTTGATAGTCCCATTCTCTAGTCATTTATTAAGCACTACAAGGCATCAGTCAATTCTCCATGCAAGTGACTTCTTAATATAATCTCCTTATGTATAAAGGAATCTCCCTTATTCCTTTGTCTTATTCTTATCAATATAGATTTGTGTATTTCAGTTGATTACAGTTCATTACTATTTCATGTTTAATACTCATGTCACTAAATGTCATTATGACCTTTTCATGTGTTGGCTTTCTTGGGAAACTTTAGCACAGCATACTCAGGTTCATCTTCTACTGGCCCTGCCCCAATCTAGAATCAGCCATACCCATAATCTAAAAACACAGACTGTCTTCTTGTCTCTATTATGGCCAAGAATTTCCTGGTGGCATTTTCAATTGACTATATTCATGTCTGGAAAACTGATTATAGAGAGGAAGTTGGAATTTCTTGCAGTTAGCAACTTTTAATTTCACCATATTTTTAGTTAACAAATATGGAATAAGAGTTTTCTCTTAAATATGAATATCTTAAATGAATTAATTCTTTGGGGAGAATAAAGGTAGTTTTGGAATGGACACAATTCTCTTGACAAGTGGGGTTATCTCTGTAGGTAGGTATCTGGAGGAATGGTATTGTCAAGGGCACAAACGAAAATCATACAGTACTTATAAGTCACATCTTTAAATCTGGATATTTTTTCTTGTGTTCTTTGTGATGATTTGCATCTCTGACTTGTTCATTGTTATTTGTAGATTCCATTGTATTAGAGAAGAACCAGGAAGCAATAATTTCTGAAGGAAATTTTTCTTACTTTACAAATGGACATTTAAAATTTAATTTACACAAAGTTTTATTTTTTAATTTGCAACATGGGTGGAACTGGAGAGGATAATGCTAAGCAAAATAAGTCAGAAAGAGAAAGATACAGAATAGTCTCACTTATATGGAATATAGAGAAACAACAAAAGGATCAGTCAGAACAAAACTAATAATGAACTGTTAATATCTGACTACAAAACTGAGGCAAACAGAAGGAAAGGGCAGAGTGGTACGTTGAGAATACAGGAGGGAGGAGGCCCAAATGGTGCACTGGGGAGGATTGTTGGGGCCTTGATGGTGTGCAGGGTATTAAAGTACATTTGTAGAGGTTTGAACCTGTAACCCCCAGAACAAGTACGAATATGTAAATTACTAATCTCTATAAATGTAATTTGGAAAAAGAAATAAAACTTAGGGCCTCTCTGGTGCCTTAGGGGTTAAGTCTCAACACTCCACATACACAACCTGAGTTCAATCTCTGGCCAGAGACATAACCCACATATGGCACAGCAGACTTCTCCTATCTTGCCCACTACTCCCCGTAGCAATTTTTTTTCAGTAAATCCACCCATTCTGCTCCCTACTCTGTCTCTGGTGAATCCTCTCACCCCCACACCTCTGGTCTATTCCCCAGTTCTTCTATGCAAAAAATAAAATAATTTTTAAAAAGAAAAAATTTAATTTTGGAACTTATCTAATTATGTGATTTAGTACTTTGAAATTTTTGAATATGAGAAATTTGAAATGCATTTTTATAATTCCTTAGAGAAAATGGACTTCATTTTTCTGGAATTTTTCTTAAATCATTTGATTTCCCTGTGTCTTTGATTACATTTTAAAGATACTGTTATAGTGACATTAATGACAAACATATAACCATTAATGGTATGTTATTTTAAGATTTGTGGATATTATTTTTTAGAAGCATGTACTAGACAAATCTGACATTTAATGTGATATATAAATGGTAAGCTGGACAATGACACTCTTCAAAATACATGAGTTTTTAATAAATTCAATTTTATCTTAGCACCTCAGAGACCTTCAGACTGGTCCAAAAAGAAGAAGGAGCCCCTGGGGAAATTGACTTCATTATTTAAACTTATTGTGAGAGTGGTCTCTTCTTTCCACACTCTGAGCCTGAAGGAAATACATTCTGATACTCTCGTCACTATTGGCCAATCGATCACCAGCATTCTTTCCATTGTACTTGGACGTATTTCTTTGCCTTCTATGATCCGAAAGATATTTGCAACTCTAACAAGACCTCTGGCATTATTTTATGAAAACTTAAAGTAAGTATTTTGGGCTTAATAGTTCTGAATTAAATGTCTATAATTTAGATGTAGACGGCAAACTTGTTTTCCCATCATTTTTGTCATGGTGGATAGTAATCTTTTAGTTTGCTGGAGAGGGTAATATGTTAAATTTTGCTATTGTTAAAAGATTGCTCAAATAACACGCTAACAGAGGTGGAAATTGGAAGTCCTTTTATTTTGCTGCTAGTCCACCTCCCTTTTTTTTCCAATGTAGTGCATTTTTTCAGATTTGTTTCTACAGATATACCCATTAAATGTATGATGTGCATGAAATCATGTTTGACATGCTCTTTGCAATTAAGCATTAATATATCCTTTACACCATACATCTAAGAATCTTACTATTTATAATGTTTTCATAGGGTTCCATGAATGTTTACCCACTTTCCTCTTGGTAGATGTATGTTAGTTTACTTGAGTTGTCCCTTTTAATAGACAATATTATAGTTGAATATAATTACATACAAATCTTTATGCACATTTGTCGCTGTTTTTGCAGGACAGGTCCTTGACATGAAATAGTTGGTTCAAAGAATACACAATTAAATTCCCAACTTAACCTCCAAAAGTATTAATTTATGTTACCCTTTACATTTGAATTGAAGCAAATGGTGCCTTTTACAAAACCTGAAAAATCCCAAACAAACATTTTAAAAAATTCCTCAGTGTTCCTAACAGCAAACTTCTGTGATTATTCACATAACCTAAGTTTTGCCAACTGAATTGACAGGGAAAGGTTTTAGGAACAGACTTTATAAATACAAAATAGGCCCTCAAATCAATTAACTTAGCAAATTAATCATGGTGTGTAGTTTGTCAAAAATAATGTTCTTGCTGGGCCTCCCTGGTGGTGCAAGGGGTTAAGATGCAACCTATGAAGCTATCCACAGTCACTGCAGCAAGAGATCGATCCCCTGCCAGGAACCTACCACATGGCACAGCAGACCTCTCCTGACTCTTCCGCTGCGCCCCCTCAGCAGTGTATTTCAGTTAGTCTGCCTGTTCTGTTCCCCACTCTGTCTCTGGTGAATCCTCTCAACCCCCACACCTCTGGCCTATACCCCAGTTCTTAATGTTCATGCTTTAAAAAATGTACAGGAAAAAAGCAGCTATTAATACTTATAGGTCTATTCCATATGGCTTTTTTCTCTGATTTATTTTTATAAGGTTTATTTCTTGCTTAATGTTTGGAAATTGGACATATTTTTGATGAAGACTTGAGGCACCTAATTTTATATTGCCATACATGTCTCATTTGTATTAACTACATTGCAGTAGCCTTAAAATTAATTTGATACACTGTAGTGTTAACCTTCTAAAATATAAATGGCACCCTATGTGTTTTTCTTCCTAGGCTTGAAGAAGTTCCTAAAGTGTATAGTTGTATGAACAACAAGGTAAAACAAGACAATTGTCCATAAAACTTGATGGGAAAAATGTTGTCTAATTTTAAAATTTGGAGTTTTGATAGTTGTCTTCCTTAAACCTAACTACTGATTTTTAAAAGAACTGTTGTGCTTCCTTCTTAATGGACTTTCATTAGCATGGCAAGGACATATTCAAAAGATAGTTTATTTTAAAGGGTTTAATAATTTTGGCTTTAAATTCATATATGACACATCAATTTCTATTTCCTATATAAAAAGTAATTGGTTCCATTTTATAGTTAAAACGTGAGCAGGGAACTTTTAACATTTTATAATTATAAACAAAAACAGTGGAAAATAAGCTTGTAATCAAGCTATAATAACTGTAAGCAAGCTACATTCACCTGGTAAATTTGTCAGCTTATAAAAAAAGGATATATATTTAGTTGACAGCTGGGAGCTTTTAAAAAATAGAATTTTTAGAAGTCAAGAGTAATATAGTCTATAAATTCTATAATTTAGTATGTTTGTGCTTTAATGTTTTCCTATTTTAAAACTTAACATATGCAAATGTTAGACTAACAAACTTTTCTTTTTTTCCTAGTTAGAAAAGCTACTGGGAGAAATTATTGCTTGTCTACACTTCAGCTATACAGGAACTTATGACAGTGAACTTCTTGAACATATCTCCCCATTATTATGCATAGTATTTTTGCACAAGAATAAGCAGATTCGAAAACAAAGTGCTCAATTCTGGAATGCCACGTTTGCTAAAGAGACGATGTTGATTTATCCTGAAGAGTTAAAGTATGCTAACAAGAAAACTATTTTACGCAACTATCCTGTTATGATCATGTTAATTGATATTTTGATTTTAACATAAAATTTATGTTGCAGAGGATTCCCTTAGTTGAAATATTATTTGGGACCTCTCTGGTGACGGCCTGAGTTCAATCCCCCTGCAGGGAACTAACCCACATATGGCACAACAGACCTCTCCTGTCCTACCCGCTGCTCCCCTTAGCAGTGTAGTTAAGCAGATCTGTCAGTTCTGCTCCCCACTCTGTGGTGAATCCTCTTACCCCCCATACTTCTGACCTATATACCAGTTCTACACCAAAAATTAAAAATAAAAAAATAAAAAAATAGATGCTATTTATAGTACATGGTGATTAGTAGCCATAATATGACATTTTGCTTTTATCCTTAAAGTAATCTGATTTTAGAAACAAAGAGCAATTTAAAATTATCCTTAATAAAAGAATCACAAAGGGCAGGAAATTAAGTTATTTTAAATCTTGATGATGGATATGTAGACCATTTACAGTAAATGGTCTACATTTGTTTATGTATATGATGGATATGTAGACCATTTACAGTAAATGGTCTACTTACTGTAAATGGTCTACATTTGTTTGAAATGTCCCATGATAAAAATATGGAAAATTTGAAGTTTTTAAGGAAATGTGAAAGCATAAGTTTAGAAAAATTTGCAAGTCTTACTTGTATCTCAATTTTTTGTATGTAGACTAACAAGCCATCTTTAAGCTGCACTATTTTGCCACTTTAAAATTACAGTTAAAGTATTCTTACTAACAGATCGTCAGTACTCACCAATGTTACTTGACTCAAAGTATATATATTTGTACTTTTTTTAAAGACCAATACTAAGACAAGTCAAACAAAAATTTGTCCTTTTGCTACCTGGTTTGGAAAATGTTGAAATTATGGAAGAATCCAGTGGACCCTATTCAGATGCAGTAAGCTTGGCTTTTTTACTCTTCAATAATATTTGAGTATTTTGCCATGTTTCACTGTAATTTTAAAATGTACAAATACTTTTCTATATAATAAGTTGTCTGGCCTAAAATATACTGAAGCATTAAAGGTGATAAATTTCACCAGATTCTCATGTAAATATCTGATTTTCCTGTTCATTTGTGATCTGTTTTGAACTATCACACCTCAGTTGTTTCACAAAGGTTATAATTAGTAAAATATATGGCTAAGTGTTGCTTTAGATAAATTAGTAATAATAGTTAAGTGTCTGTCTATGTATTTTTTTTTTTTCCATCAAATCTCATTCTTTCAGAAAAAACACATCACCTATTTGGACATAAGTTGTTTTGGCTAATAAGTCTTTATTATTACTCTGTAGATGGGAGTCCGAGTAAAAGATGTGGTCACTCTACACCTGTGTTGGCACATCCTAAAGACAACTTTTTTCTGTTAAAAAACAATTGGAGTCCATCTGGCTTTTTATCTTTAATACATATTTTTTGTTTTGTATTACAAAAAGACCAAAAGAAAACTTAAAGCCACCTATGTCCTCTATTTAGGTTGTGTTTTGTCAAAAATAAAAACATCAAATAATTACCTTAGCTTTTTCAGACTTGTTGAATGTCATTTAGCCAAACAGCCATATAGTCTGTTGAAAGAGACATGATGATATTTTCTATTATGCACATTTATTTAAGGTTTATTGGCTTTGATTTGTTTAGAAATAGAAGAGAGTTATTTGAATCTAGTCATTTGATTCATTTTGTAGTATTTTCAGAATTTATAAAATCAAATAGCTACTGTGTAAAATTGAGGACAAACTAATCTGTTATAAGACAATTGCTTTCTTTTCTTGACATGATTTTAATAGGTTTAAATAATCAAATTTGAAATGGGTATACTTTACACTGAAATTTACAAAATGTGAAAAGAGCACATAGGAGAACAATTAAAATTATTGATTTTGTTTTATTTTTATATACAACAGACAGAAAATTCACAGTTAAATATCAAGATAAGTGGCATGGAAAGAAAATCAAGTGGAAAAAGAGAGTCTCTTTTGGCACAAACAAAGGATATAAAAGAAAGCAAGAAACTATCATCAGCCAAGGTACTTTTTTTTTTTCCAAGTTTATTTACTAGAACATTTAACACTGATTTTAGTCTAGGGTGATTCTACAAAAAGAATATTTTAGGATCTTGAGAGCATAACATTGATGAACTGAAGGAATAATGTTTTTAAAGAATAACTTAGACAAAGTCAGTAAGAAAATCACAGAAAAAACTTACAAATGCTAATATATTGGTATGCAAGGCATATTGTTTTGGCAATTTTTACTTTGACTAATTTTGCTGCATTTGAGAGCTACTCCCCATGCCAAACTACTTGATTTTTATGTCAGTTTAAAAAGATACTTGCCTATGCTTTGGTGGTAAGCATTTACTTGCCACCTTTTTAAAGAAATGTAAGTTTTATTTCTGAGTATCAGAGGCAGAACAGAAGTTGTGGATGTTGTACTAATTGTTTTTATCAATGAGTATCATAAGGATTGAACTTAAAGCTTTCTGTCATTATTCAAAACATCAGAGTGCTAGAAGAGTGATTGATCAGAATATTAGAAAAGAATTTGGGAGCTAAAGTGTACATTTTAATTTGCAGTTGAAACTGGAATCTGCATCTCCAATAACAAAGAATGAAATGCCTCTGGAAGAAGAAAAGTCTACAGACTTTGTGTTTATACCACCAGAAGAAAAAGATGCAAAGGAGAGAATACTAACTGACCATCAGAAAGAAGTACTCAAGACAAAAAGGTCAGCAGTCCTTTAATTTTGCGTTGACTATTCTGAATTCACACTTTGCTTTCATGCAACAGACTGTAACTTTGTATTTAGAATTAAGACATTGTGTGTGCTGAATTTTAATGCCCCAAAAAAAGCCAAACCTAACTACAGTTCATAATATATAGGGCTACCTAGTAATGTTACAACTGTTCCTAAACTGAATTCTTTTATTGAGCCATAATACAGGAGACACTAGGGAAGATGGTTTCATGGAAAATCGACATCTAAACGTTGATTTTATATTATGTTCCTAAAACATACATAACTAGTTTAGTTTTTTTTTTTTTTTTTTTTTTAAATAGAGGCATGTTTTTATTTATTTATTTATTTATTATATTTGTTTGTTTTGTTTATACATGCACTGGGTACAGTCAGAAGCGCGGGAGGGTGAGAGAATTCACCAGAGCCAGAGCGGGGAGCAGAGCAGGCAGAAGGGCTGAAGTACACTGCTGAGGGGAGCAGCGGGTGGCAGGAGAGGTCTGCGCACCATGTGGGATCCTCCTCCGGTGGCCGGGGAGCAGCCGGGGATCGAACCGGCGCCGCAGAGGCCACGGGCAGCTTCGCAACCCAGCGCTCAACCGCTGCGCCACCGGGGAGGCCCTAAAACATACATAACTAAATGTAGAATTACGTATCTTTTTCAGGTGTGATATTCCTGCCATGTATAATAATCTGGATGTTTCTCAAGATACTTTATTTTCTCAGTATACTCAGGAAGAGTCAGTGTAAGTATGGAAGCTGTTGAAATAACTGGCCTTTTAATTTTTAACCAGAAGCAATATTAAAATTTACGTAATTATTTCAGGGAAAGTCCTTCTTCAACTGAAAAATCAAAGGAAGATTCCAAGATGATCTTTAAGGTATATTTGGTATTTTATATCTTGGGGTTCTTTGGATTACCCTTCTACTATGGAAACTCTTGTATTAATTATGAGATTTATAGCATAATCTCTTCACTCTCACTAAAATGCTTTAGTAGAATTATTGTATCTGTGTTTGAAAGTTTAAAATGTTTTTGACATTACTGGCTATTTACGATCAGGAACAAAAATAATCTGTCGCCGCCTTTGGAATGCTTATAAAATATTGGAAATTAGTGGGTTGTGCTTTGAAATCTATAATCGTTCACTAAAATTTCCCTAGGAAGTCAGACTTATTTGCTGGTTAATCTGTATGTATGTGTACATTTCTGTGCAGGATGAACAAATGGAGAGTGACAATGTCATTCCTCAAGATGTCACAGAAAACTGCGGTATGGATGAACATCTTGAAAAGGCTTCCCTTTCAAATAATGAGTATGGTTCTATTGAGGAAACCAATCCAGAAATCACGAGCGATAATAATACCAGAAAAAAAGCTTTAATTCCATCAAAGAAAGCATCAACTGAATGTACATCTAGTGCAGAAAACACTTCTTGTGTCAGCAGTAGCTCAGTTTCTAATGCCACCATCTCGGGAAATCATCCCCCACAGCCTACAAGTCGAAGGCAAACCTTTATTACTTTGGAGAAGTTTGATGGTTCAGAAAATAGACCTTTTAGTCCATCCCCCTTAAATAATATGTCATCAGCTATTGCAGTGAAAAATAACCAGGAAGTCACAGCTAAATCAGATATTCCACCAAAAGCCAAGAAAAGAGAAGTGGCTCTTTCAAAATCTGATTCTGATAGAGTAGTGCATGGAATTAAGAGGTCAGGTAGGAGAGCAAGTAAAACTGAACAAATCTGGAATAAAAGGTCTAAGTCCTTAATGAGATCTGATGAGGAGCAAAATACTCAGGAATCTGTTGATGGTGTGGTGGCCTTAGAAAATAACCCACCTGACTTAATTAATCAAGCAGAATGTGTGTTAGATAATCAGGCTTATTTCTCTGAATCTACAGTGGAATATGATGATACAATGCTTAAACCAACAATGGAAAGTGCTGTATTATTACAGAACAATAGTGTAGAAGAGAAAAGCTTAGGAATTAATTTGGAATCCAAAGAAAATACACCACCGACTATACAACCAGCAGATCAAATAGTAAATGAGGACAGTCATATTCAAATAACTCCAAATCAGAAAACCCTTAGACGATCTTTAAGGCGACGTTCAGAAATAGCAGAACCTACCACTGATAGTCAAGATAAAGAAAATCATCAAAAAAAGGAAAGACGTAAGGAAGATGAAAAGACAATTCAGAAGAGTCCATTGCACATAAAAGATGATGTGTTACCTAAACAAAAACTGGTTTCTGAGCAAATGGTACAGGAAAATTTAATTGAGAAAGGAAATAATTTACATGAGAAGACTTTGGGGGAATCCAGCACTAATTTTGAAACTGAAGAAAATGGAAGAAATCCAGACCATGAGAATATTAAATCTGAAGGAGATGGTGTCCAGGACATTGCAGATAAATCCTCTGAGAAGCCAGTAAGGGGAAGAACACGGTATCAAACAAGAAGAGCTTCCCAGGGCTTACTTTCCAGCATTGAAAACTCAGAATCTGATAGTTCTGAGGCAAAAGAAGAAGGTTCTAGAAAGAAGAGATCTGGAAAATGGAAAAACAAAAGCAGTGACAGTGTTGACATTGAAGATCAAGAGAAAATGGTAAAACAGGAATGTGTAAAAGTGGAAAATCAGATAAATGATTATAAGTCATATTCTGAATTAGACACAGACATAAGTTCTCCAGTTTGTGAAGAAAAAGAAAGTAGTACTGTAACTCTTAATGATATAACAGTACCTGCAGATTTATTGCAAGTTTCTGATAATATATCAAATACACATGAGGGAAAAAATAAACCTAACAAATGTACAGAAAATTCTCCTTCAAATCCTACTGTATCTGAATCAAATCTAAGAACTAGAAATGCCAATAAGAGGTTACATAAGCGAGATTCTGTAGAAAGTAACAGTATAGGAGAATCTTCCAAAATAGGATCAGCAGACGTTTCTTTACTTTCTGAAAAAACCCTCCAAGGACTTGAGTGCCACCACAAGAGAAGTAAGAGGGTGAGGAGATCCAAAGGTTGTGATTGCTGTGGAGAAAAGTCACAACCTCAGGAAAAGTCATTCATTGGATTAAAGAACACTGAAAATTATGATGTAACAAGCAATGAAACAAAAAAGACAGATGTGCAAACACCTGTAACTGTATCAGAAACTTTTAAAGTTGATCTGTACTCTGAGGTAAATCTTACAGATGAGCCTCATAATGTGAATTTTCATTTGGGCCTCAAGGAGGAGAATGATACTATAAATGATTCGTTAATTTTATCTGAAGCTGAGTTGAAAGAAAGAACTATTGAAGACTCTCTTCCTTCAGTAAATTGTAAAGAAGAATCTTTTGATAAGAAATCTGAGGAAGTGATACCTTCTGAAATCCAAGAGCCATCCAATAAAATATGTAAAACTGTTGGCTTATATTTAGATAATTCCAAAGATATTTCACTAGGATGTTCTGCTTTGGAGACCAATGAAGAAAAGACAGAAGCTATCTTGGAAAAAGAAATAAACACAGAGACTATTAATGGTGAAACAGATACATGTGAAATTAAAACTGGAGTCAATCCAGAAGAAGTAGAAGCCATGGAATTGGGTATAGAAAATGATAACTCTGAACCTAATTTCTCTCAACAAAGGAATGCCAAAACTGATTTAACTGAAGAGGCAATAAATGAAAATAGTGACATAAGCAGTGAATCTAAAGCAGATGTCGTTAAAGAACTGAATGCTGAAGAAGCAGCAGCTGAGAAATTTAATTCAAGTAGAAGTCATTCTCAAAATAATACACCTATAAAAATGAGTACTCAGATAGAAATTTCTGAACAAATGGCAACTGGGGGACAAGATGGAAAAAGTGATGAATCTGATCCCAGCTCACCTAAAGAAATAAATGTTGAAGTGGAAAATAGTAAAGAAATAGTAATCGGTGAGAAGAATGCTAAAATGGGCCATGTCAGTGAAACAGAGAGTGGGGACTTGACTACTAAAGCCTCTAAGCCCGAAGAAGCTGAAACAAAAACATTGAATGTGGGAACTGAGATCTTTGTTCCTGAAACACTTGAGATATGTACTAGAGAAGAAAAAATTGACTCCAATTTAACTGAAACAAACACTGAACTTAATCAACCTGAAGAAACAAAATTTGATGGCAATCAAGTGGTAGTGGCAAGTGATAATGAAATTTTACAGGAAGTTCACCATGCTTCAGAGAAAGTGGAAGAAATATCACAGTCTTTGACATCTGAAATGGCTGTCTCTGAACTGATAACAGAAGACAATAGTGCGTCTCCTCAGAAATTAAGGGAACTTGATCCTTTACTTGTGTCAGCATGTGACAGTCCTAGTGGCATGGAGGCACGCTGTGTCTGGTCTCCTTTGGCTTCTCCTTCTACCAGCATTTTAAAGAGAGGACTAAAAAGATCCCAAGAAGATGAGATCTCATCACCTGTTAACAAGGTAGGGAAATTGAGGCTTAGTATTAATGCGTCTCCTTATTTATTGGAGTATTTTGGCCCTGTGGTAATAACTAGTGAATGACAGAATGTTAGAAAAAAAATCACCACTTAAGTATTTACCGTGGTGGCTAGGAAAAAGGGATGGTGTTGAAAAAAGGAAAGTGAAGCCCTTTAAACATTTCTTCAGGACACTAACAATCTCTGTGCAACCATGCACATTGTTCACTTTTGGCAAAATTGGTGAGAAATCTTACAATTTTTGTTCTGTCCTTATACCATAATACACAAGGAAACATTTACAAACTGAAAGCTGCTTTAGGTAACTCTTACTGTGTACTATGACATGCTGTCAGTTTCACATTTATATGAATTCTTATTTTCAGATCTTGTCTAATTAAAAAAGGAAAAAAAAACACCCTTAAGCTGTGCCTTCATCAAGTGCTGAGTTTGAATTTCATCCACACTGATTATATGAACTCTTCTTCACTAAACTGTAGCTCCTTTAGTTTGTGAACATGGATTTTCTTTGTATCTGCTTTCAGTCTTAACCCTGTAACTTTTGTAATTATTGAACCAAATTTTTTAAAAGGAAATGTGCTTATATAGCTCAACTTGACTTCTGTGTATCAAAGCAGCTATTCTAGAAAGGTATGATGTGGGTGTTCCTTTATTTTGAAATTGAACAAATTTCACACACAGACAGGTAAGATACTTAACTTTATCTTTAGTGCAAACATTATGAAGATTTCCCCTGTGGTATACTAGAGATCTTAAAATGAGAATTCAGAGATTGGTACTTGGGAAAATTTAATAATACCACATGTGTTTTTTGGTTTTCTTTGCTTTTTTTCCTGAGGTGCTTAGTATTTTTTAAAGTATCTTACATTTCATAGGTCATAGGATTTTTTGAAAAGTTTAATAATATATTAGGATTGGTGTCTTCAGTATGTACATATTATATTGTTAATACAGCTTAATTAGCCGCTTTTATTAGATAGTAGTACATATGTAATACTAGGCACCAGAACAACATACTATAGTTTTCTGCAACAGGTTTGTGGAGTCTGCCCACTCTCAGGGATCAAGACCATAATACATTTATATACATATTTAGTGGTATAAATACTTTGCTGTATATTTACATCAAATAGCTGAACAAGCAAATGTAACACAGACAAGTTCAGAAGAAGCCAAAATTACTTAAAGCTGGGGCTTATAAAGATGAAAATTGCTTCCCAATGGCTGTGATTGTGGTACCCTCATCTTTAGAACAAAGATCAGTAACATTTGCCAGAGGCCAGTTAGCACCATTATGACCTCTTTACCTTGTTCTTTACAGTCAGTGTAGTAAGCCCAAAAAGGTAATAGAATTTGAGTATACAACTGCCACATGGTATTTCATTAAGTTTCTGTTGGTATTCTGCTTCACTTTCTTTGGTGCTATATTATGCAGAGTCAGTTTAGAACTTAGATTATTAAAATGACCTCTGGCATTGAGTAGTATCTGTGAAAGTAAGAATGTAAGGTTCTACTAGTGGCTATTCACTCGTGGCTTCTAGTGAAATAAATAAAGCTTCCAAACCCACATTCTAATTTGGGTAACCTTATAATAAGAACTTATGGTGTTTATTTTTAAAAAGTTGCATTTTGTTAAATAAAAACATGACCTATGTTTTTAGGTTCGCCGTGTCTCCTTCGCAGATCCAATATACCAAGCTGGATTGGCAGATGACATTGATAGGCGATGCCCTCTTGTTAAATCCTGTTCTTTAAATAATTCTCCCATAGTAAGAAGTATTAAAACTTCACCTACCGCGCAATATAAGGTAAGCTGTAGGCTTGAAAATACACATTTATGTGTGCACACACAAAATTGCATTGCATTATTTGTCTCAAAATTAACTGTTTAGGAAAGAAAACTTGGGATTGGATGTAGTCTTTGCCTGCTAGTAAGCAGACAGGAAGAAAAGAGGTGGTAAGAGGCAGTGATGATTCAGCAAGTTATTAGTAATTATTACATTTTACATTTTCTGAAGATTTTTAGAAATCATTGCAGTTTAAGTTGTGAAGATAAACTTGTAAAATTACAGTTATCTAGGGTTCTGAGTTTTTTGTTTTTTTTTTTTTCTCTCCTTCTGTCTAGCATAATACCACTTCAGCCAAAGGATTTCTGTCCCCAGGATCACGTAGCCCTAAATTTAAGAGCTCAAAGAAGTGTTTAGTAAGAAGTGCTTTAGTTTTCATGTAACTTTATATTTTCATGTTCAGGCAGGTGGCCCTCTATTTAATGACTTTAAAAATTTATTCTAAGATTACAGAAATGACTAAAGAATCCATGTCATGCCCAGCGGAAAGTGTTTACCCAGCCTTAGTGAACTGTGTGGCACCCGTTGACATCATTTTACCTCAGATTACATCAAACATGTGGTAAGTGCTTACTTGGATTTCTGACTTAGACCTGATGATGCCACAGAATTTTAAAAAATGTTTTTAAATGAGAGTTCTCAATATTTAGAATTGATCTACATGTTCTCTCACATTTTAGAAATAAAAATTCAGATTGGAAGATGAGACAAACAGGACAGTAAGAGCTTTTATTATAATTTGTAAGATAAATGCTTAATATTTGCCAAGTACTGCTCTGAACTCTTTATCTACATTATATTATTTAATGAAACCCTATAAGGAATATAAATGAATATTTCCATTTTATGAGATGACGTTTAAAAAGATTAGCCCTCCAAAGTCACATAGCTAATAAGTCATAATGTAAGTCAACCATGGGACACTCATCAGGCTTATTTTTTAAGCTCCCCCAGATTCAGATTTTATTTAGACCTACATATGCCTGCCTTCAGAGTAGGGTAGATGGGTGTATATATAAATTATGATTGAGCTGAAATCAAGAAATTCAGCTGTCTAGGCCCTTGCAAATGGAATGAATATGTAACTATATATTGACATTTTTCTGCTTTTCTCATTGTCTGTTAAGGGCAAGAGGACTGGGACAACTCATTAGAGCCAAGAATATAAAAACAATTGGTGATTTGAGTACTCTTACTGCATCTGAAATAAAAACTCTTCCTATCCGTTCTCCGAAAGTGTCCAATGTAAAAAAGGCTCTCAGAATTTATCATGAACAGCAGGTAAAGACTTAGATGTTAGTTACAAATCATGTATAAATAAATAATCTAGCAATATAGTTACAGAAGTTTAAATTTAAACTATCTATCTTTGCTTAAAATTCAAATATATTGTACCTTTTCTTCCCTTCTCCTATCGTCAAGAGTAACTTACAAGAAGGTTTTATAACTTCCACAGAAAAGTTTGCTCATTAATTTTTGTACTGTTTGTGTAATACCTTTTTATTTGAATTCTGTTCTTCTATCCCTATCATTTCCATCAAAGGGTTGAATGGTTCCTCGTCTGCTATTCCTAAAACTTAGATATATAAAAAGTCTTGCAAATTTGTAGACTACTTTAGTATTCAACATATTTATAACTCATTTTTCTTACCTGTGAACATTTTTGGTCATGGACATTTTTCAAGATACTGATAAAAGCCCAGTAGCAGCTTTTCTTTCACCAGAAAAATAATGGAAACTTGTTATGATTTCAGAAAGATTTGCTGACTCCTAAAACCCCTTCATGGGCCTGTTACGTATCCATCGACAAAAATTGAAGTTGTGCTTAAATAAAATAGGCAACATTAAGGATGAAAGTCGGGCCTCCCCGGTGGTGCAGCGGTTGAGCGCTGGGTTGCAAAGCTGCCCGCGGCCTCTGCGGCGCTGGTTCGATCCCCGGCTGCTCCCCGGCCATCGGAGGAGGGTCCCACATGGCGCGCAGACCTCTCCTGCCGCCCGCTGCTCCTCTCAGCAGTGTACTTCGGTCCTTCTGCCTGCTCTGCTCCCCGCTCTGGCTCTGGTGAATTCTCTCACCCTCCCATGCTTCTGACTGTACCCAGTGCATGTATAAACAAAAAACAAACAAACAAATAAACATGCCTCTATTAGAAAAAAAAAAAAAAAAAAAAGGATGAAAGTCAGTGCTCTGTATTAGAATTTCTGAGATTGGAGTTTGATAATTACTGACAACTTGGGTATTCCTGAAATTCCTTGATTTAGTATTGCCTAAGTTGTAATCTTTAAAAACATTTAACAAGTTAAAAACAACTTAGAAACTAAATTAGTAATGTTAAGTCTCATAAATCAAGAGTTTAGAATCTGAAATATTTTCACTGACCCTGGGGATTATGTTTTTTATTTACTTTTTTAAAAAGATTCATTGTATTTATGCATTTACGTAAGAGCTGGGGTATAGGCCAGAGGTGTGGGGTGAGGGGATGAGAGGATTGACCGGAGAAAGAATGGGGAGCAGAACAAGTAGATCTATTGAAATACACTGCTAAGGGGAGCAGCAGGAGAGACAGGAGAGGTCTGCTATGCCAGGTGGGTTAGCTAACATGGCTGGGGATCAAACTTGTGCTGCAGTGGCTGCTGATGGCTTCATAGTTCTGAGACTTCAGCCCTTTTACCACAAGGAGGTCCCACTCCTGGGGATTATCTGTGAAAATTATATATTTCTTTTATTAAGCTATTTTCACACACTGGTCCTCCCTGGTCGCGCAAGGGCTTACATATCAGCACTATACTGCTATTTGCAGCCACTGAAGCACAAGTTCAATCCCTGGCCAGGGAGCTACCCACATGGTGAAGCAGACCTCTCCTGTCTCTGCATTACTCGCCTCAGCAGTGTATTTCAGTCATTCCGCCTGTCCTGTTCCCCACTCTGTCTCTGGTGAATCCTCTTACCCCACACCTCTGGCCTGTACCCCAGTTCTTGTATACATAAATAAATCTTTTTAAAAAAATATTTTCACATACTATAAAATTCACCCTCACAAAGCATACACATAAGTTTTTAATATAGTCAATCATTAAGCCCTGGGGATGCTCATGAGAATTTTAATCTTTTAAGATGAAGCCCATATATTAATTAAACTTGGAAATCTCTACCTTAGCTTTTTTTTTTCCGCATGTGCCTAAACTTGGAAAAAATTAATGTAATTTTTCTTAGCTACTGTGGCTGTATTTCTTGAAATTTTTTTTTTGGAAAATATGCTATTTTTTGTATTCTTAGAACATAAATTTGTTCGTGGTTAAGCATTATTAGCTAAGTTAGTAATCATGTCATAGGCTGTGGAATATGTATAATGTCAGATTATTTTCAGTGTTGATACTGTTATTACTATAAAAAGCAACTTTCAATTTTTTGATTTTTGTTTTTAATGACCTGAATGTATAATAAAGATGAAGTCTCGTGGACTTGAAGAGATTCCAGTTTTTGATATTTCTGAAAAATCAGTAAATGGAATAGAAAATAAATCTCTCTCTCCTGAAGAAGAAAGACTTGCCTCAGGTATATTTAAGCAGAATAACTCATTTTGCTTAAATGGCTCATTTTCTTGAAGAAGTACTGTTACAATGCTTTTGTTTTTAATTTGACCATGCCCTGTCAGTTTAACAAGTGTTTCTTGTGTATTTGGTGCCAAGTGCATGAAAAAACAACTTTTCTAGTTGTTTTTCTTTAATTGTCAACTTCTATGACGGCTTCAAACTAGAATATAAACTAAACATTGTTCCCATTAGTCTGTTAATATAAATGAAGTACAATGGCTATTTCTTTATGGAACAGAATAAACAATGTTTTTGTTTTTTTTTTTCCTGTTCCCTTGTTCTCTTGAGGCAAGATATGTCAGCCTGCACTCTTAATCTTGAAACCTAGGCATTTAAACATTTCATTAACTTAGGGGATAAATATAATTTAAATTTTATCTGGAATAAATTTAATTATGCCTTTTTTTCTCTTTTAGATTTAGTTGATCCTGTTGCTTTAGAAACTCCATTATCTAAAAATCTTGTGGCACAAATTAGTGCACTTTCGCTTCAACTGGATTCAGAAGATCTCCATAATTACTCAGGAAGCCAGCTGTTTGAAATGCATGAGAAACTTGGTAGCATGGCAAACTCTATAATTAAAAATCTGCAGTCACGCTGGAGGTCAACAGCCCATGAAAATTCTATTTAGTATTTTAAGAGAAAATTGAAGTCTTATTTATTTATTTTTTAACATCACTGGATTTGTTGATTTCATAATAAGTTCTGAAATATAGCACAATTTCAGGGACTGAATGTTTTCAAAGTTGATAACATTTCAAACTCTGTAGGGCAGTTGACCATTTTATAAGTTCAGTTTTGTAAGTTCATTATGTAAGATCTTTTTTTTCCCCCCATATAACATACTTTCTTGACTGCTATGCATGGGTTTTCCAAAAATTTAAATGCTTCGCTGAATTGTAACAGTAAAAACACAGAAACAAAAGCATAAATATTCACACTGTTAAAACTCATGCATTTTATGATGAAACATGTTACGTAAAATATCTTTAAGTAAAATTGAGGGGTTTTTTTGAATTTTTCCTGAAGGGATTAAAGGTTTTGTAATTTTTTTTTTTTTTAATTATATTTGTTGTGCCTGAGGTTTAAGAAATTTGTTCTTTGTGAAACACCTTAAATGAGATGCAAAAGAATTGGCACTTTTTTTTTTTTTTTTTTTGCTAATATCACCTTTGCCCGTCTTTCAAGGAGAAATATTAATAGTTTCAACTTTGGGGGGTTAAAATATTGAAGCTGAATTTACTAAGACTCCATTCATTTGCATTAGCAAATATCTGTGCAGCAGCATTTGCTTGTAAAAATTTACTCGTATGAGATTTAGTATTCATTTTAAAATGCACACTATTTGTACATTGTGTATAGATTTACATTTTTAATTTATAAATTTCAGCCTTTGTTAATTGAATTATTTTTGCAGCTTCTTGTGAATACCTTTGTTTTGTCTAATAGAAACATATTTTGTATATATTGAGTACTGAGATAATCAGTATGGACGGTAGAAGTGCTTTGTGGACTTGTTGCAGATGTTTGTAGGATTCTGTATGTACAAATAAAACAATAGTTTTGTACTTAGTTAATAATCTTAGTTAAAACATGAGTTTATTTTCTGAAGTAACCAGAATGAGTAAAATTATAGAGAATGAGAAAGTGTTAAATGACAACTTTGTTACCTTCCCCCCAACCCCCTATTGGTTTGGAAGAGGGCATCAGCCACAATAAAGTGTGCCTCATCACCTTTCCTTTTAATGGGGAGCTAGTTTGAATATTTTCTCTACAAGTTGGAATATGAGAAATCTAGAGTTTATCTGATCTTTTTTTTTACCCACACCTAAAGCAAATTTGGAAGAAATCTGAAACTGTTCTTTTGATGTGTGTTTTGCCTAATTTGAAAAAATAGGGTGTATGTAATTAAAACATTCATAAATCTTATTACCAATTAGTGTTAATGCCTGACTTTATATATTTACTTCCTCTTTTTTAACGGAGAACATTTCCCATTTGTTCTCTGAAGAGAGTAAGTTAAAGAACCTTCTTAGAGTCACACTTTATTCATACTAACCCCTTGAAAAGGCAAGGCACACATTCTTTTGCTAGTCATGAAATTTTAATTCCTGTGTTAATTTAGCTGCTACACGGGACCACCAGCCATCCACAATAAAAGTTTGTGTCTTTTTCTTAATCACAATCCTTCATTATTACAAATACTTTTGAGTGCTAAGTATGATATTCATATACTGAGGATGGTTTTAAAAATTGGGACTGAACCCAGGATTGTAGCTTAAATAACTGATAAAAAAAAGGAATTTTAAAAATAGAATTGTGATTTCTGTTTTCCAAATTATATTTGACAGTTAAGAGACAAAAGTTTTTAGTGAACTAGTGTAAGGAGTGTGTTTGTGTTTAGAAGAGTCAAAATTTGTTCATTTCATGACTACATATTTAAAGGTTTGTGTGAACTAAATGTATCTGCCAGTGGAAGGAGGTTCTGGGGAATATTAACAGTATAGCAGAAAATGTGACAAATGATTACATGTTTTGAATCACTAAATTTGGTATAAACACAGGCATTCAAAAATAGTTTTTCAGCAACGATGTAATTTTAAATGTATGGAGGTGAAAAGCAGTTTTCTCAATCTTAATTGCTAAAGTTGTAAGTTTATTAACCTTACTGTCAGTATTCTTGCCTTAATATTTTCTAGTGTTTTCTGAATGATTGCTGAATAACATAAAGCATTAATTTTCTTGATCATCAGTACCAGTATTGTTTCACTATTAAAGTGAAATCAGTTTTTTTCATATAATTCCTAATGGCTAATAAAACAAATGGCAAATGTTAACACAACAAATTGATTAATGTATGCATTTATAAAACTACTTGCATGCAGAAGCATACTGTAATTGTTCACATTCCAAAAAGAGTTTGATAATGAATTTAGATTTTCAGTATTTCTGTGAGCCCATTATTAAAAATGTGCTTATTTTGAACAAGTTTGGAAGCCAGGATCAAAAGGCATGGCACTTTGGCTGAAATTTCATGTAGTTTAGAATGAGGCATTATTAAATACAAATGCTGTCAGATAATATGGTCAAACATTTAAATTTCAACATTAAAAGCATAGCAGCTCCTGGCATTACTTATGAATTCTGTTATTCTGTGTTGCTTAAAAGTACTCTGTTATATATTTGAAAGTCATAAAAATGTCAAACATAGCTTTTAAAAATGACAGCAAGAAACAAGGGAAAAAATGGGAAGGGTATGTAGAATATGCAAGCAGGTTTTTAAAAATAAAAGTAATGAAAGTAAGTGATATTTTAGAAGCTGACTCAATTGAAATCTAATAGAAAATAGTCAAACACAGACACATTTTTCCTTAATGCCATTTCTTCTAATACTTTATAGTTCACTAAAAAAGGCCCATCTCACATTGTTCAGAGTTGATTTCCTGAGCTAGAACTTGTCAGCTAAGTTAGGAAATCATAAAATAGCAATAGATTTAGTAGGGATAGGGAGCTGTTTGCTCTTTGGCACAACCCCTATCTAGTTTATGTCTAATCCACTACAGTTATTTTGTGTTTTCTATCCAAACAGGATGAACTTTTCACTTTTAAGATAGTGCCTTGCAAACTAACATGTACATGTAAAAATGCAGATTCTAATCAGTAGGTCTGTGATACAGGGCCTGATAGTTCATTTCTTAAAACTACATGATCTGTGCACATACTGTCTCTGGACTCAACTGAAGAGGCTACAAGCTGTGAATTAGGTTTTAATATTTAAGCCTTTGATATTATACTGCCACAAAAGACAGAAGCTACTTTTTTGGGTTTTTTTTTTTAAGATTTATTTCATTTATACAAGAGCCGGGGTACAGGCCAGATGCGCGGGAGAGTGAGAGGATTCACCAAAGACAGTGGGGAACAGAACAGGCAGACTGATGAAATACACTGCTGAGGTGAGCAGTGGGCAAGACAGGAGAGGTCAGTTTGCCATGTGGGTTGCTCCGAGGCCTGCGGGGATCGAACCAGCGCTGCAGAGGCTGCGGACAGCTTCACAGTGCTGTGCTCAACTGCCTGCGCCACCACCGAGGCCCTTTTGTTGGTTTTTTTAGTAAGTTCAAATTGAATTGGGAGTACACATTGATTTTGAAGACTTCAAATTAGTTTAATTTTTTGAAAGAAGTTGTTAAAGGTAAAATATTGCCATTTAGAGGCTTTTTAAAAAGTATGGAAACAGGCAGAAATATATCTTATAGTTAAAGTAATTATTGGGCCTCCCCTGGTGGCACAGCGGTTTGAGCGCTGGGCTACGAAGCTGCCCACAGCCTCTGCAGCACCGGTTCGATCCCAGGCAGCGGGCGAGGGTCCCACATAGCGCGCAGACCTCTCCTGCTGCGTCTGTTGCTCCCCTCAGCAGTGTATTTCGTCTGTCTGCCTGTTCTGTTCCCCACTCTGGCTCTGGTGAATTCTCTCACCCTCCCATGCTTCTGACTGTACCCAGTGCTTGTATAAATAAATAAATAAATCTTTTAAAAAATATTTAAAGTAATTATTAAGCAGATTAGACAGTCTTCTAAGTATGGCTTATGCTCTGATTATTTTTTTTATATTTTTTCCCACTGGAGAAACATTAAGTCTAAATCTGATGTTTTAAGTTATGGGACTTCAGTATTAATAAATACTGAAAACCAATTACCCCTAATAAAATTAATTCACCAGTAAAGCCAGCAATGCCATTAAGTCTTTCCTGACCCATGCCTTGTCATTTTATGGAAGATGTCTTTGACTTGAAATTCCCTATTTCACTGTCAGTTGGAGTTTGAAAGACAGTTGAATAACAGTTCTCTGCAATTGAGTTTTTTTGGCATTCTTTTGGAATGTAATTTCCCTTACTCAATTTTTTTTTTTCCTTTTTTTGGTAAGAATTGGCCTCATCCAAAGCACTTAAGAAAAATATAAGCTGAAGTTGGTTTTGTTCTAATTGACATCAAAATGTATTGATTGAATCAGCTGTACAACAAATCTGGGCTTTGTCTTTTCCTGTGACCTAATTCATGATTTATCTATTTTATGCGAGACCTTGTATATTGCCCTTAGAAGGTGTTATAATTAGATTTACAGATTTATAGCTACTTATAATAGAGCTGTTCATAGCTATTTTATAGCTATTTAATAGCCTAAGAAAATTGCAAGATTTTACTTAGTTCTTGCAATAGAATGTTAAATTCTACATTGTGATTTTAACCATTTTTTCCTTTATATACCAGTCCTTTCACCAAAGAACAATGAAGAACAAACATGAAGGGCCAAGCTATCAACACTACCCCCAAAAATGCCATTAGAATAATAGTTACTCTCCCTTTTTCCAAGAGTATAAAATTGAAGGCATTGTTTTTCATTATCACATGGAAGATAAAATTTTGTTGTATACCTGTAGCAGAGGAAACATCTGTATACAGGCCACAGGGTACCAGTATATGACTGGATAAAACTAGACAGCAAGCTTACATGCTAATATTGTTTTGCTCATAAGTGAGGCTATTTAGTATCAGTCATATACTTTGAAGATAGTTGACAGTGGTTCTTGAGGTTTCTATATAAAACTAACACAATTGATGTTCATAAACACCTAGAATAATTATTTAAAATGCATATTTAATGCTGTTCCTCCAGAAGTGCTAAATTAAGAAATTTATAACAAAAAATTATTTTAAGTAGAAATACTTTCACAATAGTGTTAATGTAAAATCAAATGTGTAACTGCTATTTTGGTAGTTAATAGTTGACTGAATAAGGTGTCTAAATTATTTTTATAGAATGGGGATTTTCTAAGAGAAAAATGGAATGAGTTGTATATAGACACTGAAGGGTGACAGTCTCACTAAGTTTTATATAGAGCAAGGGTAAACAAGCCACCAAAACATGCCACCTGTTCTTTATATATCCCAGAGCTAAGAATGGTTTATATACTTTCTACAAGGTTGAAAAAAATGAAGAGGGTATTTTGTAATGCAAAAATACATGAAATTACAATCTCAGTGTCTATAAACCAGGTTTTACTGGGACATTGTTATATGTATTTAGGTATTTGCTTTCTTGATACAGCAGCAGAGTTGGATAGTTTCAGACTGGCTTGTGATACCAACTGTATTTACTATCTGATCTTTTACAGAAAGTTTGTTGTGTATCCCTGTTATAAAGAACAGTTCATATATGGCATATATTTACTTGGCTTACTTGCTTCTAACTGGTAGAATGAGGCTCTCAATTCCTTAGTTTCTTTTACTGTTGTCTAGATCTTCCTAATAATACACGTTGCCCTGATGGTATATCTTACTACTGTTCAAGTATGCATATGTTTCAGATAAAATATTTTCTTCTTAAAGACTCAAATACTGTTAATGTGCTTGCCATGGATATTAAAGGTCTTGCCCTGTGAGGAGAAGGCATCTGTCACTAATTGGTTAAATCACACTTAGAAAATAAATTGGGGAGTGTGCTTTCTGTGTTGGTGAGTAATCAACTGCTTTCAGTCGAGACACTACCTCCTGTGGATAGACTTAACTAATATGCACTTAGAAAAAGACTGAGCGAAGCAAATCGGTGCTTTATTAGCCTTATATTTTTATTCCCATCACTGAATGAACTCATAAAGCATTTAGTACTACAATTCAGGAAGTGTTTATAACAAATCAAATGTTTTCATAGTTGAAGTTTCATGGAATTATCTTTTCATCCTGAATTGACTGTACCAGTCATTGGAAAATAAGGTGTAGCCAGTTGGATTTGTGTAATGCTTTTACAATGTTTGAAGCAAGTAGACCTATACCAAAAGTGTATTTTCAGGTTCTTTATGACAGGGTTGAGGGAAGGAGAATATGATCCATATGTGAGACTTTCTGTGATCTATTGAAAGAACTGTTAACCACTTGCCAATTAAAGTTGAATATTGAACATTTTTCAAGAAATGCACTTTAATCTGAAATAAAGGTATAAAACAATTCTGGTACTTTTGTTTGATTTTGATTTTTAGTGAAACCTGAACTGAATAAGAATAGCATAATCCAAATACTAAAATAAGGTGAACATTGTAGCCTTCCACAAACACGTGAAACATTCATATTCTTAACCTCTTGTGGTCTGCTTTTAACCATAGGGGTTTGGTTTTATTCATTGCCTTTATGGATTCCACTCTTTTAATTCCATACATGTAAAGAAGAAAAAATAATACAAGCATGATACTGAAGGATGATATATTGGTTTTATTGTGACTGCCACAATGACCATAAATTTGAGTAGCTTTAACAACAGATCCTGTCTCAGTTCTGGAGGCTAGAAATCTGAGATAAGGTGTTGGGTAGGGTTGATGCGCTATAAGGTTTTCTCTTCATTAGCTTCTGGAGGTTTCCTGGCAAGCTGGCTTTCCTGGCCTGCAAGAGTATCACTCCAGGGCCTCCCCGGTGGCGCAGCGGTTGAGCGCTGGGCTGCAAAGCTGCCAGCAGCATCTGCAGTGCCGGTTGGTTTGATACCCAGCTGCTGGGGAGGGTCCCACATGGCATGCAGTCCTCTCCTGTTGTGCCCACTGCTCCCCTCAGCAGTGTACTTCAGTCCTTCTGCCTTTTCTGCTCCCCACTCGCTCTGGTGAATTCTCTCACCCTCCCGCGCTTCTGACTGTACCCAGTGCTTGTATAAATAAATAAATAAATCTTAAAAAAAAAAAAAAAAGTATCACTCCAATCTCTGCTCTCTGCTTTCATCTTCATATGGAAGTCTCTGCATGTGTGTGTGTCCAAGTTTTCCTTTTTTATTAGGATACCAGTTCTGTTGGCGTTGGGCCTACTTTTAAAGACCTCAACGGTTTCTGTAACAATCCTATTGACAGGGTCACTTTGTAAGGTATGGGGGTTAGTACTTAAATATCAATGAGGGTGGGACATAAAAACCACATACCCTATTTCCCAAGAATGTAGCATCAGGTGGCACTGTGAATGTTGGTCATCTAAAGAACATGGTTTGAATTCTGGTGTGGGGTATAACTTACGACATTAGAGCACCCAGGCAGGACTCAAAGGGTGATATTGGTGCCTCTTCCTGATGCTGGTGGTACACTTGGATGCCACTTCCCCAGCCAGACCCCCATGGTGAGGAACAGTGAGGCAAAAGGGGAGACCTTGTATCTTTGCCCATCCTTGTGAAAGACACTCCCCAAGAAGCCCCTGATCCAGGTACATCTCCAGGGCTCAACTGGTGGTGGTTTTTTTAAATGATAGGCAAGGAGAATACCATGCCTTAATATTTTTGTGAAGTTTAGCCTTTTCATCTGCTCCACTTCAAGCTCTGCCTTGCCTTTACTCTGATTCATTTCCTATGTACGGTTGGTGGTGGTTTTTTTCCTCCCATAGGAGATAGAAGAATGAGGCTCTCCTGACCTGGTTGCCATGAGAATGGGGGGGAAGATGTTATGAAAAATAAATTCTCCTAATTCATTGGATCCCTGAATCTTCTATGTCTATTACTGCAGTCTGGGTAGAAGGATCCAGTAAAAATGTTCTTTTCAATCTCAATTTTATAGACAAGGAAACTGAGGCTATTCTCCAATTCCCATCTACCAGCTGCTTGTCTAGCACCCCAGGCCACCCCAACTCATGCCTCTCCCCAAGGGAGCAATAATACCATTTCAAATATACAAAACAAATTTGAGTGATACCAAGTGTTCACATGCCCATTTTTCTCTTCCATTTCAGCCTCCCAAATAAGCCCATCAGGAGATCAGGGAGATATCAGTGCCCTCATCTTCTAGAGGAGCTGCAGACAGGCATTGGCTGGCCCAGTGTTGAGAGTGAGAGGAGACTGCAGCTCTTCAGCCTTCCTGTACAGCACAGAATCCGGGGTTTTTCCCTCTGCGTGGGTATGTGTCCTAGTGGCAGAAGCCTGTTCACCAACCTGCCTGGGTCCCTATTCTGCCACCACTTAACTAGCTTTGACTTGGGGCAAGATGCCTCTTGACTTTTAAGCCTCAGCTTCCTCACATAGCAATGGCTTAGAATAAAGTACATGAAGGGGGTGGGGAGGGTTTGAGAAGTAATTAAGTATATGCAAAAAGTGTCCTTGCCCTACAGCCTGGCCCACAGGCTGTACGTTGATGACCTGTATGACAGGTAGGGATAAAACATGGCCTCAGGCTAAAGGTATAGTGTATGTAGGTGTGCATCTAAATGACAGTCTGGGGCTTTGGCTGTGTCTAAATGCTTGTTCTGGTTTGAGACGTCAGGGATAGAAAATATAGAAAAACTATTCCATATCATACTCCCTGGTATCCCAGCAAAAGCAAATTTGAATTCCACCTACTCAAACACTCCCCAGTTCACTAGGAGCTCTTGAGGAAGAAGTCACCCTCAAGTATCTTACTTTGCCTGTTCCCCCAAGTCCCTGTGCTGAGTCTTCAGATTACCAAATTAGAAAAGAAAACATTCTTATCACCGTCATAGTGTATAACAGTGTCTTAGTCTACATCAGAACTCTAATTATTGAAAGAAGGGATGAATGGATGAATGAGAATCTTTCATAAGTATGCACTAATGAGAGTAAAACAAGAAATTTATTTTTTCTTTTCTGAGGAGACTGGAAGAAAAAGAAGGTAGTAAAGATGAGATTTTCTCACTGAGGTTTCTTCCCCAACAGCTGCATGTCCAATTCCAGGTGGCAGCTAGAAGTCAATTTCAGGCGCCCAGCCTTTTGGGTTGGGTAACCTGGCCATTCTAATTCTCTTGCAAAATAGAGGGAAGCAGGGGGGGCCTTCCTTCCTGTCTCCCCTATAGCAGGATAGAGTAGAGTGTGCAGGATGAAAGCTTGGATTCCTGTCTTGGCAAATCACAATTTCTAGAAAGTGTGATGTCAAATCAGAGAATGTGTCTTTGAGCCTCAACATGGGGTTGAAAGTTATGGCACCCCTCACTTACACCACGGGCTTGTTGAAAGATTGCTCTGTAATACTGTGGAAAAGTTTTCCACAACTATGCAGTACCACTCAAATCAAAGGTGGCATTGTAACTGGGGCCTAAAAGGCAAGGCTGGGGCCAAATGCTGTTACAGGAGGTGCCCCCTGTACCAGTGGAGGGGGGCAGTGAGGGCATAGGTGAGAATACGCATGGGTAAAGAAGAATTGTTAAGCACACTGTTAGGAAATATAAGGGATAGTAAAAGCCTTTAGGGTCAGCCTTTCCAGCCCCACCACACTGATCTTCCAGACTGCTGTTGTGGACTTCTGGAGGACTTGGAGTGGCTCAGACTGTTGAAGATTTCTGTCACTGGCATCTAAAAGACTTGGGAAGGCTTCCAGCAGCTGACCTTGGAAGAGGAAAGCTGAGAAGCTTTGCAGGTAGCAGCGTGACTCAAATTGTTCCCAGCTTTGCTGCTGTTACAGTCCAGAGGGGAAGGTGAGGGCCTAGAGCTGAGTGTGTGGATGTATGCCATTTGTCATGTAGTTGGCCTGCTGCTGCTGCTCTTTCAATTGTTGCTTGTCTGATACTGTGCTGTTTCTTTGGGTGCATCTCGGAGGATCTGAAGAGAGTCTTCTGCTGTCATGCTGAGTTGGATCCCAGCCTGTTGTCTCTGGCTGCCATGTGCTCCAAGCCCTCAGTGGGAGGAAGATGTTATTTTTTTTTAAATATTCATTTTTATTTATTTATGCATACAAGAAATGGAGTGTAGGCCAGAGATGCAGGGTTCAAGAGGATTCACCAGAGTGAGGAGCAGAAAAGGTAGATCTAATGAAATATACTGCTGAGGTGAGCAGTGGGTGAGACGGGAGAGGTCTACTGTGCCATTTGGGTTAACTCCCTAGCCAGGAATTGAACTTGTGCTGCAGTGGCTGGTAATAGCTTGATAGTGTTGAGACTTAACCCCTGTGCCATCAGGGAGGCCTTAATTTATTTTTAATGGTTTGGAAGCTGGACAGTATTTTAACTTTTTCTGGATTTTTATATGCTAGAGCACTTTGCTCTTATTTTTTTTTTTTTGGAAGATTTATTTATGCATACAAGAGCTGGGGTACAGACCAGAGATGCGGGGGGTGAAAGGATTCACAGAGACAGAGTAGGTAATAGAACAGGCAGATTGACCAAAGAACAATGCTGAGGGGAACAGCGGGTGAGTCAGGAGAGATCTGCTGCACCATGTAGGTTGCTCCCTGGCTGGCTGGGGATCGAACTCGTGCAGCAAAGGCTGCGGACTGCTTCATAGTGCGGTGCTCAACCCTTTAAGCGACCAGAGAGGCCCATTTTTCTGGATTTTTAAAAATGTATCTTTGTAAAGTAATTAAGTTAAAAAAAAATCTACCCAGAAGAAATTAAGGTATGTGAGCAAAAATCCATTTTTTTCCCCCTGCAGGCTCTGAACTAAAAGCACTAAGCTTACACAATGAATAATCCATGCCTTCCTTATGATATATAATGCATTGCTTTTGCTTATTAAATTCTTACATAAATAAATTATGGTTTGGCCCTGGGAGATCCTGTTCTAAATGCTCATCTTCTGTTACTCAACTTCTACCACATTAATACCAGTTAGTGTTCAGATTGTTTCATTGCTCTCATTTTTCCAATATTTATTCCTGTTCTTTTTCTCAATGAGATTTAAAAAAAAAACAATTCACAGAAACTTAAACTGGATCATATGCTTTATTCATTAAAAAGACAGTATAAATTTATCTTTTTTTCATTTTACTTTTTAAAGGCAAGTATCATGCATTTATTTACCTTCAAAGATAAAACTATTTGGCTGTTACTTCACTTTTGTTACCATGCTCACATATTTATTATTTATTTATTTATTTTTAAAAGATTATTTATGCATACAAGAACTGGGGTACAGGCCAGAGGTGTGGGGGGGTGAGAGGATTCACCAGAGAGAGAGTGGGGAACAGAACAGGCAGACTGACTGAAATACACCGCTGAGGGGCATGCTCACATATTTAAATAGTTAATAATATTTAAAATAAAGCAAGTGTTAAAATGATAACTT